GGGCAGGCAGGAGGGTGTGTTTCAATGCAGAGAGCTGCTGTTCTGCTCTTCAAAGGCCATCTTGCCCAGAAGCTGGCTGTCCAACTCTACCCCACTCACAGGGAGCTGGAAGAAGTTCATTTCAGCTGCTAAGGCTGCCATGGCAGAAGGGTCCTGGCCAAACTGAGCTCTTAACATCATGTCCATTTTCTCCAGCCTCCTCTTGAGCCGCTTGGCCTCCCGCTCCCGGATGAGCCGGGCCTGCCGCTTCTCTGGGGTTTCGTTAGCCCGCTTCAGCCTCATGGCTTCCCGATCCCGCTGCAGCCTACGTGCTCGCTGCTCATCTGTTTCTTGCATGCGCTGTAGGCGCTTGGCCTCGCGGTCCCTCATGCGCCTCACCTCCCGCTCCTCGGGGGTCTCATTGTCCCGACGGCTCTTCTTGGCCGTGCGCTCTCGTTCTAGTCGCTGCAGCCGTACTTCCAAAGGCTCATTCTGTCGACGTAGTGCCCACTTGCGTACACTGGGGGTCTGGGCTTCCAGCAGCTTACGGTAGGCAGCACAGTTGTTGCACACAAGCAGAATCCCAGCCGGGTACACTGGAGGACTAAAGGTAATGTCCTTACCCTCAGCACTGGAGGGGCCCTCACTGTGGGCTGGGGGTAGAGATTCCATATTAAGTACTTCAGGAAGTTTCTCACTGGAAAGCAAAAGTTTTATGTGATTAGTGTCTCCTAGCAAGACTGGGCATCAAGCCCTGACTTGTTCCAGTCCTATCAGATCATTTGCTCCAAGTGAGCATCAGTGTGAGGGAGACCTCTTCTGCTGCTCCATCCCTGATTTTCTTTGAGCCGGAGTGTCTTCCAAGTCTCAGTACTTACCTGGATCTAGAGACTGAGAACACTGCACAGCCAGTCACAACCCAGACAGAATTAGACCAGGCGTTTTAGTGGCGCCACAGTGAAGGTGTCTGCGGGAGCTGTGCAAGAGTCCTGCTGAGCAAGGAGGTTGCCCTTGAGGTAGAGGCAACCACTGGCACAGCCTCCTGCTCCCCGAGCTGACCCTGCCTGCACACAAGGCAAGTGGGACTAGGGTGTTCACAACATTCACACAGTTCCAGTCTTCTTGGGGCACAGTGGGGACTGTCTTCTTATCAGGGTCCTCTCAGCACCCTCTAATTTCTTTCTCTATACTTTATCCTGAATGTTCTTGGACTTCCCCACATCTTTGCCAAATTAAAATCTTTTTCTGATAGGGAAAGAAGTGAGAATTCACCTCCCTTCGAGGATAGGTACAGGAACAGTCATATTTATTAGCATCGTTACTTGTGATTCCCAGAAGTCAAGAGCTAGTGACCTCTGTGCTACCCATCTCTAGCCTTTGCAAGTACAACCCACACCCAGCCATTTTTTTTTTGCACAAGAGGGTTAGGTGAACCTACTCACCTGTTAAATGTGGCATGGCTGGTGAAACGGGCTCCACACACAGCACAGTTAGAACGCTGGTCCTCTGAGTGGATTAGGAGGTGACGCCCCAATGACCCAGGGGAGCTAAGGGCCCGGCCGCAGACAGGACACATGTAGCTCTTGGCACTCACCACTGCTGCAGTGTGCTGTAAAACAGAGCCTTGATCTGTCAACTCGTGCCACTCCACAACCACATGTACCCACTTAGAAAGTACTTTCTAGAAAACATCCTCTTTTCTTTTTCTCAGAACAAGAGACTTGCAATTACTCCCCTGTTTAGCAATTAAAGAGTAAGAGTCTCTTGACCAGGCCATTCCAACCATTGCTCAGATTTCATCAGTTTGAGTTCTGACTGCATTCTTGGGCATGTGGCTGACTTGAGCAACAGTGGGGAGCCAGAGGCAGAGCCTGAGAATTCATGGTAGGGGTCAGTCATTTCTGTCAGCCTGCCTCACACTGTGCAGGTACAAATGCATGCTAAGGGAACAACACAGCTCAAGTCTAAAGCTGGTTGAGGAGACTGGAATCCAAATGGTATTTAAGTATCCTACCTTTCCTTCTATCTTTGAAAATGATCTTCTGAATAAATAGTTCTCTTTTTTTTTTTTTTTTTTAAGATTTATTTACAAGAATTGGGGTAGAGGCCAGTGGTGTGAGGGGTGAGAGAATTCACCAGAGAGCAGAACAGGCAGATCTACTGAAAAACACTGGTGAGGGGAGCAGTGGGTGAGACAGGTGAGGTCTGCTGTGCCATGTGGATCAGCTCCCTGGCTGGGAATTGAACTCATGCTGCAGTGGTTGTGGACAGCTTTGTAGTGCTGCGCTTTAATCAATGCACCACCAGGGAGGGCCCAATAGTTCTCCTTATGAACCACCCTTCTTACGATAAAACCCAGGCTGCGAAGTGCATCTGATACCTTTGCCAATAGAGATCACAACGCACAGGTGGCTCTACAACTGGGTCAATCAAGGGAAACACCCATAAGTGTCTTATTCTGATCCCCATGATTGTATTAACTTTCCCCTGCATTTCACAAACATTTATATTCTTCTTTAAAACAAAGCCCTCATTATAGGTGTTAGTTTCTATTTCACTATTTAAATTATGTATTACATAATTTGGGAAAAAATGATGCTTAATTTTCCTAGTGTGTCTGGGAACCCCGAACATATTTACCCAACATATCCTACTTATTCTTTAAAATGTTCTGTGGCTTGGAGTGGAATCTTCATAGGAGCAACAACCCACTTCCTTTGGAAGCCAGAGACAAAGGCTAGAGCTGCATGTGTTCCAGAACACACAGCTCCTAGCCCTACCTGGTACACGTGAGCAATCAGCTGCTCCCGACTCCCGCAGTCAAGCTGGCAGAGCGGACACTGGCAGAGTCCAAGTAAGGGGTCAGAATTCAAATTCTCTGTGACCTGAAATTCACCAAGGAGGCGACTTCATTAAAATTGTCTAGCAGCCACTTCCCTACTTCTCACAATAGGGCAGCCTGTTAAAAGGAACACAATCTGATGTCAGTTACTTCTAGGTGCCTGTTAAAAGGAACACAATCTGATGTCAGTTACTTCTAGGTTCTTGTGGGTGAAAGGAAAAAGCTATAAGAGGAAGGGAATTCAATTTGCTTCCTTCTTCATTTTTTCTTAAGACTTCCTGCCACAGGATATGGGTTACCCCAGAGAGAGCTCATTTTCCTTAGGTAAATTCTGCAGAGGAGGATAAGCTGCCCTCTGTCTTGCAGGAATACTCAGGAAAAGGCTTAGCAGGTAGCACCTCATTAACACTTTGATTAGATTTGTAAGTGTACTTAAAAGGACACCTCAGGAAGTAAGTGAATACTTTTGCAAAGGTGGATATTCTGTCTGGAAAGAGGTGGGAAGTGCCAGGAAGGAAAGCTGGGCTCACATGTAGGATTTATGTCTGGAAAAGCAACGCTGAGTGTGAAAGCTGACTAACTGGAGCTGTGCAGCCAGAGAGGTGTCACAGGAAGGCCCAGGAAACTCATATGCAGAGGTGGCCATCAGGCAGAATAGAGAGTAAGAGGCACCCTGGAGTCATTTGTCACTTGCCTCATGCTCTACCACTTCGTTCCCACCAACAGGCTGCTCTGCACTTTCTAACTCTTTTTCCACTTTGATCACCCCTCCATCTTCCTCTGATGTGTGGGAAGAGACTTCATCTTGTGTGGTCTCCTCTTCATCGGCATCACTGTCACCTGGAATATATTAATTGGTTAATTGTTCTGATTTATGCAGAAATACACATTGAGATGCTTTCCACCCTAGAGTTTGCAGCTATAATGGAAAACATTTCAGAGCTTCCATAATATAGTTTGTATCAGTGCTTAGTTGGGTACAAATCATGTTAAGTTGAAGCCAGCTATATCTTTTCTTATAATGCACATATACACTAAAAAAAGTATCTGAAACAAAACTGCACTGACAAATGGTTACTGAGTCCTGCATAGTATTGCAAAAATAATCCTTCATAAACATTTTCCAAAGATCACACACTTGAAGTGACACCTCCCACACACCTCACACAGTGCTCATTCCCACAGCCTCTGACTTACCGACACTTCTTACTGACTGCATTACTCTACTTGCTTTATCTATAACCCACTACCTGATCTCTCCATGGCATCACAAATACTCCTCTGAGGCCTACTAATCTCTTTTCAACAAGCCCAAGACAAATTCAGAGACTGACGCCAAGATTTGCTTAGTCCTCTTTTTATTTTAACAAATAAGTTAGTTAAAAATCATGTTACTTTGTACGGAAAGGGCTTTTGAGTACCCTGGAAAAACCAGTTATAAAGCCACTGCTCTCAGGCAACTTGTAGTGATACTTGACTTGCTGTGTTTTTACTCTGCTGCTAACTCAACATTGTAAGCTAAGTTCATTGTTTCTGTTGATTCTTTGCATTATCTGATGATAACTGAGTAAATAACATGAAATAGGCCATTCTTTACTTTAGAATAAGATATAATTTCTTTTGACTAAGCTAAGAATGGAATTTCTGTCAGGTTGGGTATAGGATGTAGCTGTGGGGTATTCCATGGGCAGGGCATCTGCAAGGTCTGTGTAAGCTAATCTTTTCCTATACTACTAAATAAAACAGGAAAAAAATGACTAAAAAAAAAAACCCACAATAACAAAAGTAGCTCTTTGTGGGGAAAAAAGAAAAAAGATGCCAGTACTTTGAAGATCATGAGAAGAGGCAGTCAAACTCCAGCCCCAGCCTGGCCCCACCACCCACACAGGAGACATACGGGTAGTCACACGTGACCCCCAATAGTGATGAGGGGCTGGAGCAGACAAGACCAGGCCAGGTCTCCTGGTCAGCTCACTGGGAATCTGTGCAGACTTAGTCCAATATAATACTGTATCAGACACAGTATTTTGTAATTTATTAAAAGTCAAAATATGTCTTACAATCACAAGTATTTTTTGTATATAAATATGCCACCTGGAAAGATGATTAATCTTTTCTAGAATGGAAATCTATTAGACTTTTTATTTGCTGCCATTCCTTCCAAAATGTTTGGGCTCATTTTTCTGTACCTGAGCAATTAGTTGCTAAATTTATTTTTTGTTGTTAAATTATTGCTTTGAGTGGAAACTTCAGTTCCTAGAAGGTTATGGAATTTTCTTTGTTTTTCCTCAACCCCAAATGTGGAGAAAAACCAGAAATGTCACTCTGAGCTGACACTAATAGTAACCAGTCAGCAGGTGGATGAGATTAGTAAAGGTGTGGGGACCACCTAGGAAATAACCCATCTCAAAATGTCCTGGCAGGTTGTGGAACAATCATGAGGCTTAGCCAGTTACCAGCCAATGTTGCATCTATCTCTTAACCACAGGGACTTAGGACTTGGTGTGGGAAGACCTCAATCTTAGCATTTTATATACTGTATAATCTCCTTTGTAAGTAAGTCCTCTCAGATTACAATAAAACTGTGCCCTCAAGCAAACATTTCAGTAATGTCAATCTTATATTAATTAAGGATAAATAGATCCTAGGAGATAGGAATTTTTTTTTTCATTTGACCTAATGCAGGGGCTGCTTGAACACAATTTATTCCTATGCCCCTGTCTGTCACAATCTTCATGAAGATATCTACGTAGGCCACTGTACCAAGTACTGCAGTGCAGGAGTTAAAAAAAAAAACATGCCAAATTTGTTCCCTTTCTCTGGAAAAGCATATGCCCAAACACCTTAGCAGAGCTTAGAAAACACTGAGGATCCACAAGTCTCCTTTATGTCTTCCTCCCAACCACCATGCACAATCCCCAGAGCACACACACTCTGATAATGCTTCTCCCATTGCCCTGAGTCATTACCAGAAGGTGCAGAACTCACTGCTACTGGAGTCCTGATCTCTTAGTTGCTGGATAGCTTGTCGCTGACTGCCAAGGTCTCCAGGAAAATCAGTTTTCATCATCGCTTGGCGGGCTTGCTCTTCTAGCCCAGCAAATACTTGATCCCCTGGTGGTCACAAGGAAAACAGTTAGGCCACCAACTGGGTAGCACATCTTCCCAGCCCCCCCAAGCTGGTTGGAAAGGTAGACCATTCAAAGGGAGGAGACAGGCAGATTCCCTGGGGCGCGGTCATTTGGCTCCAAGTCACTTGCTGCCTCCAACAGTTTCTGGTCCTGCCTCTTCCTGGGCAGTAACCCAGATGCTACAGAAAGCATCACTTGCTTCTCTTAGATCTTCCTAATCGTTACTCCTTTCAAAAGGTATTGCTACTTTTCAAATTAAACTTTAGATTCTCAATTCCATTAATAACTTTCCTTCAGGGTTGGGGAGTCAGAGGCAAGAAGAGGCAAAGTGATGGGATGAAGATAGGGCAGGTAACAAATCAAGACATAATCTTTGAATCCTTTAAAAAAATTTTATTTTATTACAATCTCTGAATTTTAGTATACTATCATTTTGGGCCTGAGCTCAACATTTATCACTGACTGTAAGCAAATACTTCAAATAATCGTCCCAAATAACAGTCTCTCTAATCTTCATCTACTGTTTCTAAAACACGCCTTGAAGTTATTCCTTAACTTTCTAATATCTATTAGAATTTGCCATATTGGGCCCTCCCTGGTGGCGCAAGGGGTCAAAGCACAGCACTATGAAGCTATACACAGCCAAACATGAGTTTGATCCCCAGCCAGGGAGGTGACCCACATGGCACAGTAGACCTCTCCTGTCCCACCTGCTGCTCCCCTCATCAGTATATTTCAGTCAATCTGCCTGTTTTGCTCCCCACTTTGTCTCTGGTGAGTCCTCTCATCCCCCCTACACTTCCAGCCTGTACCCCATTTCTTGTATGCATAAATAAATCTTAAAATAATTTTGCTATACGTAAATCAACGACTAGTTAAATGAGGAATTAAAAGGAGAATAGATAATATAGGAACTCATTTCTATGGAGGTACAAAAATGCCAAATATGCCAACTATTTCACAACAAATAGCATTTTACCTGGTCTCCTTAGTCCAAGGTGGGAGCTTTGTTTTTTATTTGCTTTTGATATGGAGTGTCCAGAAGCCCTGGGTCTGTCCTTGATTATGTATTCTTACAAATGCTCTCTGGGATATGCATAGTTATTGAAGAGTTAACATTTAAATGGTCTTTTATTTTCAAGAGGCCAGGTATAGGAGAAAAGAGAATTGGGTTTCTTGAGGTTTCCATTATCTCAGTCAGACTGGAAACTGCAGTCCCCATTCTCCAGCCACCAAGAAAGAATAATAAAAGGCCCTAGTGAAATGTTTCACAATAGACTGACTAGGCGCTTTCTTACTGAAGAGAGAAAGAAAAGTAAACAGGTTCAGGTTCCAAGACAGGATACAATGATGTAGGAAGAACGAACTGCTCAGTTGACCTGAAGTACCAGGCAATCAGAGAATTATGTGAAGCAGACTTTGGCTCATACACTTAGGCGTTCATCTAGCTAACAGATATTGAGCACCTATCATATGCTAAGTGCTGAATACTAGTAATAGTTAACTATTTAGCACTTCTTACTTCCAGGCTCTTTGTTAATGCTTTATAGTTGTAACCGCACATTAATACTCTGCAAAACTCTGTAGTAGGTATTACTACTCATATCTCAGGAGAAAATTAAGATGTAACGTAGAACCAAGTACTCAAACCTAGGTCTGTCCTACTTTGATATCCATATTGTAAACTGTTTTCTTTATAGAGATAGTAACAGTTTAGGTGGTTCATCAGAGGGATTTTATTGCAAACGTAAGTTTGTTTTTGGGGAAGAGTAGCTCTGATCCTAGTGTTAGTGTTTTTAATTTATTTCTTTTAATTTATTTTTTAATTTATTTAGGCATGGGGGTGTAGACCAAAGATGAAGGGGTGAGAGGATTCACCAGAGACAGAGTGGGGTGCAACATAGTTAGATCTACCAACATACATTGCTGAAGGAAGCAGTGGCTGAGACAGGAGAGGTCCGCTGTACCATATATGGGTTAGCTCCGCTGTGGCTGGGGATCATACTCAGGCCATGAGGTGACAGTGCTGAGACTTAACCTTAGGCCACAAGTGAGGCCCCGTTAGTGTTACTCGTTAGTGTTACTTTCATACCAGGAGAAACTGATACACATAACTGGATTGCTCCCAGTGAGTATATGACAAATGCCTGGGTTAGAGTAACTAGTATTTTGGCTACTCTGACTGAAAATAACATTCAAGATAATATACTAGAAATACATCATTGTGAAGGAAAGCAAAAATTGAATTGTGTAAGCACTTCCTCTTCTCTATGCACATGTAAAATGTTGGTTCTATTGCAACTACAAGACCATCTCTAAATGCAATAATTACTGAACTTTTCTGCATAGAGGAATGTTTTTGAACCTGGTGGCCATGTGCAGATATGGCACTGAGGAACAAGTTATGTAACAGCATATCATGATCAAGAGCAGATCACTCTTATCAGTGTCATGTCACATCCCTAGTTAGAAATCACCTAGGTTTATAACTTGCTAAGAGTATGTGTTCTCCTCCTCCTGCCGTAGTTTTGTCTAATGGTGTCTGTCTAATGGTCTGGTGACCTTTGTCTATTCAATATGACCTACCTTACTAGGATTTTAGCTGGCAAACTCAACTTGATGTAAATTAATTCTGTCATTCCTTTTTAGCAGTCTGTAATGAAAAACTGTGCTCTTATTTTTCATTCTATTCCTGACTTGGGAAAAAGGGCTAAATTAAATTTTGTTTCTTAGCATTGTTCCTTCTTAACATCATCATAAAGCAAAATACATCAAGTCCATAAAAAGAGAAGTAATTTCAGCATATGTCATAGGGAAAGATTTGTGGATGTTCTTCTAGTAGTCACTATTTATCTAATTCCTAAATCAAACTGTCCAGAGTTATCATCTCATAAGAAGGTAGTGAGGCTCTGCTAAAAGTGCCATATTGACTCAAGTGTAATGTGATCACAGAGATTCTAGTGTTTAAGAAGTGTTACTCAATTGCCTGCTTTTAAAATGTAGAATTTTCATTTCCTTCTATCTTAATACTACTGGAATAGGTTAAAACAAAAGTCCTCTAGGATCACAGGGAAGCTGAGGGGGGACTATGGAGACTACAAGGGTGGGGGTAGGGGGCGCAGGTGCTGCTTGCTGGTCTGCCTGTGTGTCCAGCCCTGCTTCAGCATTAAAGGTGTGTCAGGTTAAAAAAAAAAAGTCCTCTAACTATGGTGATGGCACATGGGTGATTTGGTGATGGGAAACCCAAGGGGATGGCAAATGAGATGGAAAAATGCACAAAAATATGTAAAAATAAACTATTATAAAATAAAAAAAAAGTCCTCTAGTCTCTAGATAGTTGTGTAAGGCAACCATATTATTTAACAATGTGGTTTTTTTGGGGGGGGCAATTGGTAATAGTTGAGGGTTTCAAATCTCTGTAATGAAAAGAAATGCGTTACCTTTGCTTTTTCTGGTATGAAATCAAGATACTGTTTGATTTGGTTAAGGTTTTTCTGACTAGATAATAACAGGGCATGGAAACAAGTTAGTAAGAAAGATGAGAAACCTGAGATGAGATTTATTAGAAAGACAACACAATTCTACAGTTCTTTCTTAAATTCTTAGTGTAGTCAAATAAAAACAATTTCAGGCTGACTGAAATTAAGCAAAATAGCTGAAACAAATTCTGAGAGACATGATGTGAAATTCAGAAATACAGAGCTAGTATTAGGAATGAAGCACTTGGGATTTCACACCTGGCTGAGCCTCTGTAACCCAAGGTGCTAGCACATGTTGGGAACAGACCCCAGGGACAATGACAGAAAGAAGAAAGATAAACCAAGTTGAGCTTTTTAAAGGAGAAGGGGCTTTAAAGGTTAAAAAGCTTCTAGCTGAAGCTGAAAGTTTTTTGTCTTGGGCATCCTGCAATCTGAAAACAAAAATCACTTAGAAAAATGTAGTTTTCCCTGCTTTAGTGATTTGCTTGGTTACAAATATACCAAATCAAAGTGTGCAAGGGGCCATACATTCAACTTCTCTAGACAGAGTTGACACAATCTTGTACCCAGAAGGAGGTAAGAAGAGGGAGGGGGAAAAGAAAGTCTAACAGACTTGAGTTCTTCAGCAGTTTCTCAGTTACTAACGGCAATTCTAAGCTTTTATTTCAAAAGTGCTGCATTGTCTATTAATGAGCTGGGCAAAACTCAAGTGTCTAGACAAAGGGAACATCATGACAGTAATTCAGATACTGAAACAGTCCTGAGGAAAACCAAACAAATACCAAAAGAGCCTGTCTCTTGGTGTCAAAGTGTACCTCATGATGCTGTTGGGTCACAGCAATGGGGCTTTTAATATAATCTTTTACACTTGATCTCAGCCACAAGGCCAAGAAGTGATTTTAATATAATCTTTTAGGCAAGTTTGGAGCTTCTAGCCACATAATCTTCTTCCCAGAAGGTAGACTTAAGGAGGCTCTGCCATTGCTCTGTGTATGTGCTGACTGTCTGTGACATTAAGCGAAGCTTCTGCAGACATTCCTGACTCCCAGGCCATGAGTTCATTCCATTTACTTTAAGTTGGTGAGCAGCATTAAATTCGATACATTTGATTGGATTCATTTCACTGCCAAGAGACAGAAGACTAAGGGCACTGAAATTACCTATATTTACTTGCCATTATTACCATGGTCAATGAGAAAATGACCTTTCAACAGACTGTGCAGTATCACTAGTAAGATAAGCTATACAATGCCTGGCATACAGTATTTTTTTTTTTTAAAGATTTATTTTAGGGCCTCTCTGGTAGTGCAGGGGTCAAAGATACAGTGTCATCAAGCTGTCAGCAGTTCGATCCCCAGCCAGGGAGCTGACCCACATGGTGCAGCAGACCTCTCTTGTCTCTCTTGCTCATCTATTCTGCTTCCCACTCTATCTCTGCTGAATCCTCTCACCCCCTGTACCTCTGCCCTACACCCCAGTTCTTCTATGCATAAATAAACTTAAACAAAAAAAATTTATATATTTTTTCTTTTTTTTTTTAAAGATTTGTTTATTTGTGCATACAGAACTGGGGTACAGGCCAGAGGCTCAGGGGTGGTGAGAGGCTTCACCAGAGACAGAGTGGGGAACAGAACAGGTAGATCAACAAAGTACACTGCTGAGGGGAGCAGCGGGCGGGTCAGGAGAAGTCTACCATGTGGTCACCTCCGGGGCAGGTGGGAATCGAACTCATGCGGAAGTGGCTTTAGCTTCTTAGTGCTGTGCTTTAACCCGCTGGGCCACCAGGGAGGGCCACTATTTCTATTTTTATGTAGAAAGAACTGGGGGTAGGCCAGAGGTGCAGGGAGTGAGAGGATTCACTAGAGACAGAGTGGGGAGCAGAAAAGGTATACTGACTGAAAAACACTGCTAAGGGGAACAGTGGGCCAGACAGGAGAGGTCTGCTGCACCATATGTCTGTTACCTCCTTGGCTGGGGATCAAACTTGTGCTACAGTGACTGCTGATAGTGTCATAGTGCTGAGACTTAACCCCCTGTGCCACCAGGGAGGCATACAGTATGTTTTTAATAAATTTTAGTCCTCTTATCTTATCCTTAACTGATCTATCCTCTGTAGTACCAAACAGAAGATCCTCAGAGACCAGCACCTCTCAGTGTCTTTTCTTCTCTGGTCAGGCTCACTCATCACCTGAGAAGCGTGCATGGTTTCCACTTTGAATACATCACCGAAAACAGCCCCTCCCTGGAGACTGCTTTTTGGCAGAGCTGAAATTTCTGTTCATAACCCTCTTGATAATCACGACCTAGAGCCTCCACCCACTCCACCACAATGTAAAACCCGCAAGCTTCACTCTGGGAACTAGGTTTTTGTAGCTGTGGATGTGTGCTTTTCTCTCCTGAATGGCTGGCTTATCTGTGTGTTTCCAGGCTCCAACACCAGCTCATCCTGGGTTTGATTCTGGAGGAGATGCAGCTGATGGAGGCCTGCCAGGTGGATGCAGGCAGACATGCCAGCCTGCCCTGGCTCCCCTGACCTTATCACAATCATTACATCATCCCCACCAGCTACCTTACCTTCCTCAAGTCTAATCCTTCTCTCTTGGCTTTTATAGGTAAATTTTACAGGTGACCATTTCCTATGATTATCTTTCCTTTTGGGGTCAGTGTCTTTTATCATAAGTATTCATCTTCAACCAGTAGAAGACACTCCACCTAAACCTCTGTTAGAGTACCTATGTCAGAGAGCTGTTTTTCTTACTGACCCTTACATTCAGGCCCACTGAATTTTACTGTTTTAGCAGCAATTTCTAAATCCTTCTTAGGTCACTCATCTTTAGATTAAGTAGCTTCCATATTCATCTATTCTAGAATATATACTAGAAACATCTTTTTTTAACATCTAACTTTTTAATAAATTTTAATCTGCTTATCTTACCACCTTGACTGACCTATCTTCTCAAGTTTTGTCCTAAAAAAAAAAAAAAAACTCTTTCATAGCACTGAGTTCTCTTCAAATGTTGCTGTACTTTATTCAGCCCAGTTTCCATAACAGGGAACTATTTGCTCTTTTATCAACATTTTGATGAGGATGCTTATTCCCCCAGTTCATAGGAAATAATCTGGTTAACTATCTCAAATCTGCATAGATATATTAATGTTAATTTAATAAGGTAATTCTGAATACCCTTTAGTGGTACTAAAAGTAGAGCGGGATAGACAGAAAACCTATCCCTCTCTATGTTTACAATTCAATTACTGAGGTAAAGCGTACACATGAGACCACTGAGAAGCAATGTGAGGCAACAGCATTCCCTGGCTCCTGCTTCTAGCCTGTCTCATGTGATCCATCCCACACGTGGCTCTGCAGGCCTCAAGCACTGCATTCTTCCAGACCTCGGTTTGTCATTCAGATCTCATAGTGTAGAGTTGAGCACCCTCATACATAGCCTGTGACTCTGGACAAATGAAACTTCCACTTCCTCATCTTCAGAATTTACCACTTGCATTCCCTCTTGTTATCTTTGCTCATCGTACTCTCCCTCCCTGATTTTACCTCTCCCTTTATAAAAATGCATAAAATCTGTTTTCGATGGCTCAGTTCACATTCATGGCCTAGGACTTGGTTCCATCAAACATTCCCTTACTTCTCAGTTCACTGAGTGCTCTCTCTGTTTAACTTGCAGGTAACAAAGTGTGCAGCATTCCTGCTTGACACAGCATCTGCTACTTTGTATTTTTATAGATGGTTATTTTATATGAATATGCAATTAATAGTTACAAAGAATTATTCTACATCTGTGGTTACATTGTAGTCACACACCCCCACCCCATATCCTTATACTGCTTTACAGCTCTGACATCTAGTACAAAGCTTTGTACAGAGTAGGTATCCTATAAATGTTTGTTAATGTGAATACTAAGGTTGAATCAACTCCTAAGTTTCTTAACACCTGTAGCAACTAGACACATTTTAAACCCATCATGTTCCACACCTTTAACCCTTGTTTTCTTTACAACTATTGTGAACCTCCTACTTAAATTAAGATTATTCTTCCATTCCAACCCTCAGTGTTCCCAGATTATAGAAGACTGAGCACAGTACTCACAGTGAACTTTATTTGGATTTGTCTGTTTCCGACGGGACATGTTTCCCTGATCCAACAGCTCTGGTCTTTCCCAGTTTCACGACTGGATACGTTATTACCTCCTTGCAAGGTGCTGACCTATAAGTAAAAAGGATATCCTTAGCAAATATCACTTTACTCAGAAGTTACATAAAATTCAAAGATAAAAACTTTAATAGTTCTTGAGCAAGTAACAGTTATAACTGAAATAATGAAAGGAAGAACGGAATGTCTAGTAGAACATCAAGGTCCCACAAAGTTTAAGAGGGGACTCCTCCAGAGGATTTAGAGAATTCCACTCTAAATCCATCTGTGGAATTCACAATACTATTAAGTGATCATGATTAAGAACACAGAATAGAAAAGGAAGCAGAGAATCCAGGCAGCCAGCATCAGCAGCACATAAGTTCAAAGGGATAACCTGCAGGAATTGCAAACAAAGAAGCTAGAGAGGGTGGCAGCCCACATGTCAATCCCACTGGGAGTGAGCCCCGCCACTGCACCAGTAGAGGCCTCCAGACATTTTCTCAAGAACTTAACTCGCCTGGCGGTGACAAAGGCATCAGATGCCTGAGAGACAGGAAATGTCTCAAAACTCTTAGTCATCTATAAATAAAAACATAAGGGAACTAGAAAGAGTATCTAGTGATGTGAGCACATGGGTGGGCACTGTAGATGATGGGTATTCAAGCACACCAGACTTCCAATGCTGACGATGGGCTCACACCAGAAGAGCCAGATGCGACCAACACTGTCATACTACTTCAGTACGCCAATGGCACACGTCAAACTGGCCCCCGCTCACTGGCTCTGGTGCAGCGGTCAGAGTTAATAACTTTAGTGCCTCTTCTCAACCCAGCCTCTATGTAGCAAAGACATCAATGGGAGGAATATAAAGTAAAAAAAATAAAGTCCCCCAAATAAGAAATGCTGCAGTCATGTACCTGCTTCCTTGAAGCAGGAGGGGACAGATACTTAAGCCTGGAGGTTCCTGGTTAGTTATAAGACTTTCTCAGCAATAAATGTTGTTACAGAGTTTGAAATAGTAGCAAAAGCTGTGAAATTTTCTTTGCAAGAGAAAGTGAATGAATAGACACAGATTAAAACAACATACGCTTTCCTACCAAAAATAAGAATATAGATCTGGTCACCCTCTGAATTTTCATTTCCTGCCTTTCCCAGTTGTGTTCACAGTGAATAAGCAAACATAAAGTTGAAGTTAATTGCCTTAAGAGGCACCACGAGAAACTGGTACTAGCAGCTATACTTTACACTCCAGTTATGAAGACTCACCTCCTGTAATGCCAACCTTTCTGTAGATAGAAGGGACCTCAGACCTGTAATCAGACCCTGCCTTCCCTTACCAAAAGAAAGAAACCGCAAATGGCAAAGACAGGCCTCCACAGGAAGTGGCAAAGGAAGCAGCTTTCTGGCAGTCTTCTATCATATCTGCATATCAAATAGTCCTTTTTCAGACCTTTAATTAAAAAAAAAAAACTCCAAATGCATACAGCAAAAACCACTTGTAACTATTTAGAGGGTAGTAGCTGAGCACTAACACTTCTAAGTTGTGTCTGTATAGCTCAATTGTGTCATCATTTCATTAATGGAAGTGGTGAAAGGTATTTACACTTTTTGGATATTTTCCTATAAGTGTGTGAATCATAGTGTAGAAAGTTAAGTAACATGCAGGCTATCATTTTTCCCTCCTAAAATCTGCAGAACTATACATCTTTCTTGTGTAAGGAAAAAATGAAATCTTTAAATTTTGTCATCAAGATCAGACATTGAAGCCGTGAGGTAAAGGTAGTAAAACTCCTTCTGATGGAAGGCTAAGTAACTTGAGACAGGCTTTATTCAGATCACCTTGCTGAAATAACAGATACTAAAGCTACAAGTGGGAAAACTGATGCGCGTCGGCATATTTAAATCTGCAACGTTCCCTGCCAGATCTCCGAGCCTCCTAGTGGCCAAATGGGGAACTGACCAGATGGTACCCAATAGCACTTCACACCTGAGGGATCAAGAGAAAAACACACTCTCCCCTCCCTCAACAAATGAAAACATGTGGGGGTCATGCCTTCTTGAAAATAACAAGAAAATAAATAAATAAATACATACATAAGTAAGTAAACAAAGAACTGGAACAACACTCGACTGCTCAGCAAGCTCTCAGAGGTAAGACAATTTTACAGGCAGTAAAAACCATTAAAATCCACCCATACATAGATCTAAAGGTCATTCATTCAGTTTCACTTTTAACACTGCCCCAGGACGCAAGCCTGAATCGGAAACCAACACAAAAATGTAAATGTATAAGCGGCCTGAATATCATCATCTGGAAGAAAAAACGGGATGGGGAAAAAATGTAAATGGTGAGATTCAGGACTACACAGGATTCCATTTTTAAAGGAATGCAGCTTTTTGTAGTCTTTAGGAGGTTGTTGAGAGTCCTCGGGAGGGGGGGCCAACGTGTCCCCTTAACACAGCCCCTGCTCTCCCACAGGTGTTAGGTTGCAGCTTCCAGGGCGCACCACAGACTTTATCAAGAAAGATAGATAAACCAAAAAAAAACAAAAAAACAAAAAAAAAAACCTGATGAAATCCAAGCTTTAAGAAAAGAGGGTGCACTCCCACCTCCAGCTCTGGTGCAGTTCCCACGAAGCAAAGTAAACTCGCCTGAATCCCAGGGATATTTATCTGCCAAAAAGGAGAGGACAAGAGAGCTGGTCACGCAGCCGCCTCACTGTTCAGCCTGTTCCCTCTTCTGTCTGGTCTAGAGCTTGTGTATAACCAGCCGAGACGCTCCCCACGGCTCCTCGAGCATGAACCCAGGTAGATTCCCAAGAATTATCAGACGAGAGCCAAAGGTCGGTTCGGAGGCAGCTCAGACAAACCCTCAGACAAAACAGACTTCGCGGTAATCTAAATTTAGCAGTTTTTCTGCAAAACCGCGACGCGGGGACCGATACCGGGTATGCACTCCCACGCCCACCCTCCCCTCGCACAGCTTCGCCGGAGCCTGTCAGACGCCGCCGGCCCCAGCCCCACCTGGGCCCACGCGCAGGGCGGCCGCGCCGACGCCCTCCGCGCCCGTGCCCTCCGCAGGGACCGGGAGAGGAACCGCCGGGGTGCGGGGCCCGCGGGGTCCGGCCTCGTCTCGGGACCCGCGGCGGGGGAGGATTGCAAGGGGTGCCCCCGACCCCAGGCCCCAGCGTGCGCTGGCCCCCTCCCCGGACACACAGACAAAAGGACCGACAGCCCGCGACCGTGAGAGGGGCGAGGAGCCGCAGCATCCTCAGCCAGGCCCGGGAGGGTAGGAATCCGGGGTCTTTTTACCCGGAGCCTCGGCGTTCCGCGGCGCTCCGGGCCCCTGGGCCCCGCCTCCGGACAGACGGACCGCGGGACAATGGGCCCCGGGCCGCAGCTCGGGCCGGCCGGGCCGGGGCTCTCCGGCACTGGGCCCCGGCGGGCGGAGGGCGGCTCCGGGCCAAGCCGGTGACTGGGAGTCGTGGGGCGGCGCTGCAGACGGACAAAGCCAACGGCAGACAGACAGACGGAGGGGGAAAAGATGGCGACGCGGGCGGCGGGAGCGCGCAGCTCGCGCACCCGCAGCGAGAGGGGCGCGTGCACGAGCCTCTTCTCTCCCCCTCCCCCTCTTCTCTAGCTTGGTCCCCCTCCCCGCTCCCCGGGTGCGCGCCTGGCGGCATGGGCGGGGCTTACGGGGGACGGGGGGTCCTGGGAGGCAGGACTTAAGGGAGCATCCAATTACAGACGTCGGAGAGAGGGGCTCAACTCCTCCTCCAGCCCTGACGACCACCCAGCCTCGCATCATCCCCGGCCTTTCTCTGGCTCTGTCAGCCCCACTGTTCTCCTCCCCTCCCCTGAACCTGTGAACTCCACCCTGACTGTCAGCTTTGATCCTAGCTTCCTACCTCACCTTCGAATTTAGCCACAAAACCCACATCCCCCAACCACAGCTCCACCGCAAACTCCCCCTCTCTTCAGGCCAATCTTTGTCACTCCACCTCTCAACCCTCTTCCCTTCATTCCCGACACCTCACGGTTTCATCACCCGCATTAATGTGACCGAGACCTAGGAAACCCTGGGGCCTTTGTGGGAGGGGCTAATTTCAGCTGTCAGAATCTCGGAAAAGTCTTCGGGTTTTTTAGGTGTTTATATCTCCACATGATTCTCAATTAATAGAATAATAGTAGCCTTACACCTTGAGGCAAAGGATTCCTTTAGTTCAGGTAACTAAACGGGTTACTTGTGGCACTATTGCCACTCATGGGGGCACTTGAGAGTGATTAGACTCACTTTCTAATAAGACACCTCCCCACCATCCCCATCATTCTCACTACTTTCGTTTCCTTCCTTTTATTGTCTTCTTTTAGAATGCCTAAGCTTGCTTCTACATAGCTTGGAAGAGTAAGGAATGTGGTGGAATGACTGGGACTGGAATTAAAATATTCAGCTTTGTGACCCAGCTCTGCCACTGACCAGTCTGTTGAGTTTGGGCAAGTCACTTCCTTATTGTGAACCTCTGCTTCCTATGTGAAATGGATAATAAGGTAGTAATTCTTGGTCTCTACTCTCATAGGGTGATAAAGTAAAATGAGTAAATGCACTGTACAAATTATTTCTATGGCCCCATGAAGGCAGAGATATGGGAGTAGTGATCCTTGTTTATAAAATAGAAAGTCCTGGTATTTGCATAAAGCATCCTTGCAAAATGGCTTTTCCACAAATCTCCAATGAGATGATATCATTGTCTGCATCTTGTGTTTAATATGATAAAATGGCTGTATTAAAAGATCTTTGTCATTCACAATCCTGAGAGAAATTATTCATTCATTCATTCACTTATTTACTGTGGCTGGAATATTTAGACAGGCATTGTTATTTTGTAACTTCAAGTAAATATTGATTTTGTTAAAAATTTTAATTGCTTAAGTAGCCACATTTTTAGACAGTTTTGTGTAAAATACAAGGTATAATAAACATTCATTTTTAAATCTAGTAATTTTTAAAAACATTTCTCCATGAGTTTATACTCATTAAGAAATCACAATATGGCTTTATTAATTTAAAGTTGACAGAGAGGCTCTCCCTGTTGGTGCAAGGGGTTAAACTGCAGCACTGTGAAGCTAGTGGCAGAAGCTTCAGCACTTTGATCCCCATCCTGGGAGGTGACCCATATGGTACAGCACAGCAGACCTCTCCTGTCTTACCTGCTGCTCCTCTCAGCAGTGTACTTCCTCAATTTGCCTGTTCTGCTCCCCACTCTGTCTCTCGGGAATCTTCTCACTGCTCCTGCACTCTGGCTTCTACCCCAGCTCTGTATGCATAAATAACTAAATCTTTAAAAAAAAAAAAGTTGACAGAGAAAACTTTAGGAGAAAGCCTCCAGTGAAATGTTTGGTTTCATTGTTAATTTACTGTGCAAAACTTATTCCATCTCCTTGATTTGCTAATAAAATGGGATCATAATAATGCTATTCTTATAAACTTATTGTGCCATGGAAATACCTTTGAGGTGTGGTGATTCAAAGTTAAACCAGGTCAAGAATCATGCTGTTATTTTGCCCTTCAACAGTATTAACTTTTCTTGAAATATCACCCTAACCTGTTTTATTTATTGGGTTTTACAATGTCTTCATTAGGGCTTTACAACAGTAATCATAGGGGTATTTAAAGAACCTCATTTAAAAAATTTGAGTAAACTATATCTTACATAGCATGAAATTCACCCTTTTTAAGTGTATAGTCCAGTGGTTTTTAATACATTCACAAGGTTATGCAGCAACCACTAACTCCAAAACATTTTATCATCACCCCCAAAAGTAATCCTATACTCCTTAGATGTCACTTTCCATTCTTCCTTCTCCCAGTCCCTGGCAGCCACTATTGTATTTTCTAGTTTATACATATACACACTAGTGTATATATATTTGCCCGTTTTGGACACTTCACTTTAGTAGTATCATACAATGTTGGGGCTTTTGTGCTCAGTTCCTGTCATTTTGTTGTCAAGATGAATCCATGTTGTCACATGAATCAGTAGTTCATTACTTTTTATGGCCAAATAATATTCCATTGCATGGCTATATTCATCATTTGTTGTATATTTACATTGTTCCCACTTATGCATTTTGAACAATGTTTCTATGAACATTTGTGTGCCATTTGAATTATTTCATCTTGTGGTAACTCTATAATTAACTTTTTGAGGAACTGCCAAATTGTTTCCCAAAATAAATGCATCTTTTTATATCCCTACTAGCAATGTGTTAGGGTTCCAATTTGATTATTGCCTGGCTATTTTTGCCATTGACTTTTTCATTATAGACCTCAGTGTGTGTAGAAAATGAAATCTTACTGTGGTTTTGATTTGCACTGCCCTGATAACTAGGGATGCTTAACATCTTCACATGTGATTATTGACCATTTGGGGAATGTCTATACAAATCCTTTGCTTGTTTTTAAATTGGGTTGTCTTTTCTACTGTTGTTTTGTTAAGAGTTCCTTTACTTTAATACTTTGGATACTAGAGCCTTAGTGGATATGTGACTTGCAAAATTTTTCTTCCCTTCTATATGCTGTCTTTTAACTTTAATACTACACCAAAAGTTTTTGATGTACCAAAAGTTTTTGGTGTGTTTTAAAGCACCCAAGTTTTATTTATATGAATTCTAATTTATGTATTTTTTTCTTTGGGTAGCTTGTTATTTAGATATTATCTAGGAAGCCACCTTCTAATCCATTGTGCTTAAGATTTACAGCAACTTCTTCAAAGAGTTTTATAGTTTTAGCTTGTAAATTTAAGTGTTTGATCCACTTTGAGTTAATCTTTCTATATGGTGTACGGCAAGAAGTTTTAACTTCACTCTTTTGTATTAGTTATCCAGTTTTTTTTTCATATGTAACAATTTGTCAAGAAGTCTGTTAAGTTCCCACTAAACTTTTATCCTATGTATAAATACATAGGATTATTAATGGACTTTTCATTTTCTTTGCTGACCTATATGTTTATTATTGATAGGAATTTCCTATTTTTAAGGAGATAGTATAAACCTTTGACTTTATATTTACAATGTAGTTGTTAAGTCCTTATTCCTTTGGGTTCTGTAAGTCTCTATTCCTTTGAATATACTTATGGAAAATTTGTGTCTTCTAGGATATTTACAGTGATGATGTCATGAAAGAAAGTGATTTGGGAACTTTTGATTTTTGTCTATGAGTTCCATGTATTTTAATGCATTTCTCTTTTCTGTATTGGTTAAACTCAATATATACTAATTAAAGCTAAAACCAGGATTCAGATTATTATAGAAATATCATAAAAGTCTGTGATTTTGATTTTTAAGATCTGATCCTACCACTTACAGCTGTTGACCCTGGACTGGTCAATTTACTGTTTTAAAGTTCACTTTCCCTTTATTAAAACTAACAATCACGGCCCTCCCTGGTGGCGCAGCGGGTTAAAGCACAGCACTGAGAATTTAAAGCCGCTTCCGCATGAGTTCGATCCCCGCCTGCCCCGGAGGTGACCACATGGCGTGGCAGACCTCTCCTGACCCGCCCGCTGCTCCCCTCAGCAGTGTACTTTGTTGATCTGCCTGTTCTGTTTCCCACTCTGTCTCTGGTGAAGCCTCTCACCGCCCCTGAGCCTCTGGCCTGTACCCCAGTTCTGTATGAATAAATAAATAAATCTTTAAAAAAAAAAACTAACAATCACTTCTTACCTATAACTGCTTCATAGGTTTGTTGTGAGCCTCAACTGAGATGATGTGCTGATAGGTACTCTGTAAGATGCAATACATCATTTATTGGTATGGAGCTCAATTAATGCTATTAATAAACACCAGAGGTACTCTTAAAATATTACTTGATTTTTTCCCCAGGCCTTGGGAAGATGTCCAGAGGAGTCCCTATAACTTTTCAGAAGTCTACAAACTTCTCTAAAGGACCAGATAGTAAACACTTTAGGATATGTGGCAATGTAAGAGTTCTAGCACATGTTCTCCTTTTCATTTTGCTTGGATTGATAACCTATCGACAAAGTAAAAACCATTCTTAGCTGGAGGAGTTATACAAAACCAAACCTGACTGATTTTGACCTGCAGGCCTGTTAAGAATTCATACACTGTTGGGTTCAAATACCATGTCAGGTTTTAGTTACAGACATTCATTATAAACACACACACACACACACACACACACACACGAGTTGCTGGTTAGTTCATCAAAGAAATGTTATGGGTTAATTTTTATCCTAACAGCAAAACAGGACTTAAGTAAATAGTGTGAGTCGAGTTTGTTTTTAAGATCATGTTTAGCTTCTGAATGAGACTTCTTTGTTTAGCCAGGGACAGAGATCATGTCTTGAATAACTGCCTGGTTGTGGGAAAATTCACAGTTGATAAAATATAGGATTTAAATAACTATACAGAATAGGACACAAGCAACTGCTGAGTAAGAAGGAATTTTATAAATGTATCATATTTTAAACAAAATATGAGGGCTTAATGACATATTTCACTCATCTTTACTCTCATGGTCTGAACAAGGTTACATTAATGCCAAAAGTTATCTATACATACTCCACCACTGGGAACATGGGGAAATAGAAACTCCTACATTGCTGGTGATAGTATAAATTGATACTTCCTCTTTGAAGTGTGATTTGGCAATACATATTAACATTAAAAATATACCTACCCTTTGCTCCAGTTCTTCTACTTCTGGGAAATTACTAAGTACAATACATGCAACTAAATATCTAGTCATTGCAGCATTGTTTCTAGAGGCACAGAGAGATAAAGTAGCTTGCTCAGAGAAACAAGAATCTGGTAATGATAGTTATTGTACTTCTAGAGAGAGGGTCTGAAGGTTTGAGGGTCAGAGGAGGGAGACTTAATTTTCACTGTACATCTTTTTCATCACTGTGTGTGTGTGTGTGGTTTGCCATGTTTATGAATTAGTTTTGACTTTAAAAGTTTATTTGTACCATTGGGAAAATGAGTAAAAGGCTTATCAAGAGCACCCTATTTACAACATAGCCTGTCTCGAGATATACAAACTAAAAATAGTTTTTATTAGCTTCAAAAAGATTAGAAAGAGTTAAAAAGACCTAAAATTGGGCTATGTGAGGAAATAGACACTCTAACCAACTATTACTAGGAAGATAGTAGTACTCTTTGGGAGAGAAGCCTAATAACGGGTTGTCCTAGTTTGCTAAGCGTGTCAGAACAAAGTACCACAATTTGGGGTGGGGAAGGGGACCTAAACAACAGAAATTTATTATTTCACAGTTCTGGGTGCTAGAAGTCCTGCATCAAGATTCAGTAGGGTTAGTTCCATCTGAGGGTGTGAGGAAGAATCTGCTCTAAGCCACTTACCTAGTTTCTGATGGTTTGCTGGCAATATTTAGCTTTTCTCAGCTTATAGATGCACTACCCTGATCTCTGCTTCATCTTCACATGGTTTTTCCATGTGTGCCTCCAAATTCTTTTTATAGGGACACAGCCCTATACTGGATTAGGGCCTAACTCTAATGACTTCATTTTAACTATCTCCAAATAAAGTTATATTCTGAGATACTGGGGTTTAAGAACTTCCAAATATGAAGTTGGGGAGGACACATTTCAAACCACAGTTCAACATGGATATCAAATTTTTAAATATGCATGCCCTCTGGGGCCTCACTGGTGGTACAGGAGTTAATATCTCAGTGCTCTCAAGCTATCATCAGCCACGATTTATGTAATCCCCATGACATTTTACTATCATTATTTTTTGAAATATATATGAGTTTTCATTTCAAGTGTATAGTTCAGTGGCATTTATGACATTTACATCCTTGGGTCCATTTCCACGACTCTTTCATCTTTCCAAACCGAAATTCGATAGCAACCTACCAACTCTAATCTCCCTAGTAACCTTCATTCTACTTTTTGTCACTGTGAACTTGATCTGTCTATGTCACATAAGTGGGTTCATACAGTATCTTTTGTGCCTGGTTTATTTTACTTACCATGTTCAAGGTTCAGTTCATTCATGTTGTAGCAACTGTCAAAATTTTCTTGCTTTTTAAGGCTCAGTAATCCATAATACCTATGTATCATGTTTTGTTTGTCCAGCCTCTCATCATGAACAGCTGGCTTGCTTCCACTTTTTAAACGACTATGAAAAATACTTAAAGGCAGAGAAAATAATGCAATAATCATCATCCAATTTGACAATTATAACATATTTGCCACTTTACCCCTTCGCACAGTATGCTTTTCTCAAAATTTAAAAATAATGAGCTTTTTAAATAAACAAAACCTCAATGCCATTTCCATGTTTAACAAAATAACAATTCTTCGATTGTTCAGTATCATACTGGTCCATAACGTAATTTCTCCAATTGTTTCAAACCTGTCTTCTATAGTTTGATTGTTTAAATGGTAGTCACACACATTACACTTTGTTATTATGTGTCTAGGCTTTTTAAGTTCGAGCAGGACGCCCTCACACACATTATCTTATTGTGGAACAGAATCAACTTACACACTCATACACTGAAACCAGACTTTCGAAAGAAAGCAAACACTGTACATTCTGAGGTTCTGAAACCTGGTTTTATTTAGAAATACTGCAAGTGGCTAAAAAGACAGTATTTCTAAATGCGTATAAACCACAGAAAGCTCCATCCTAGTCATATTATGACTGCCCGTCACAATAATGTAGCAAACCACGACTTTGGCCTCAGAAGACCAGTTGTCTATTCCGGGAAGGAAGAGGCTGGGAGCCTGGGGGTAGGCAGCCCCTTCCAAACTAAACTGAGAGGAAGGTTTTCAAGTTTAAAACAAAGGTAACCAAAAAAAAAAAAAAACAAAAAACACGTTTCCTGAGTACCGCGCTAAGGTTAACTCCCGGAGAACGTGGTGCTGAGGGAAGATGATATTGAATTATACTATACAGGCCGTAGGAGCAGGTTGGAAGAACAATCAGACCGCGGTGAGCTGTCAGAGAACGATGGAAACCCGCTCGGCCACCCCTCCCGGCCACTCCTCCCGGAGGGGCGCAAAGGGGTCTCGGGGGAATGGCCCCAGGGTGAGTGGAGCCGACCTAGGGACCCGAGCAAATTGCAGAGAGTTACTCCAGGCGTTAGAAGGGCAGACCCGCGCCGGTATTTCCGGGGACTGGTACAATCCGGAGCAAGGATACCGGGCGCGAACTCGCACAAGGACCAACAGGGAGCACGGCCCCACCCAGACCAAGACCAGCGACGCCCCAGCCGCGCCCCCAGCAGGTGACTCAGGAGCCGAAGAGTGACGCGTCACATCTCGCGCCTCCGCTGCGGGAAGTAGTCCCCGGCCGCGCCGGCTCCATAGGGAGCTAGGAGCGGAAGCCAGGGGGCCCTCGGAAGTTGGTCCCGGGAGCGGCGGACGCGCAGCCAATCCCTGGGAAGCAGGGCGTGGTTATCTAAGCCCCGCGAATCCCTCCGCCCTCCCTGACTGTGCTGAGGCCGACGGAGCCGCCATCTTGAGTGTTGAGGTTTCCTTCCTAAGCCCGTCTTTGCCGTTTTTTTACGCCTGCTTTCGATCGGGTGAGTGTGACATCCTTAGCGTTGAGGGCTTTTGTTTCCCTTCCAGTTGTGTTTCTGAGGTAGAAGCTTTCAACTAGGGCTAGCGATCGGGGTTCAAACGGCCCCGAGCTGGCTTATGAAGAGAAAGGGATCGTGGATGTGAGGGTCAGGTCGAAGGAACCTCGGCTCAGTGCTGGGCTCATGGGCGTGGCAGGGCCGCGAGCCGCTTGGCTTCTTGCAGCCGGAAACTTTACTGCTCTTCGCTCTGTTCGGTGGCATCTTTTCCCAGGGGAGGAAACAGGGCTGCTTGGTCCCCGACGCCGATCATTGACAGCTCGGCCGGCATTCGGCGGCGGCACCCCTACCGTGTGTCTCCGGCCCTGAGAGACTTCGGGGAGCTGGTATCGCCGGGGCCCGCTGAGTCTGAGAGCCGCCCCCGGCTCCTGGGCAGGTTTCTGAGCCGCCAGGACTTGGGCCCCCGTTGGTTGGAAGCAGTTTGCCTTTTACTTTCGCTGAAGGAGGCAGCGGCCTCTGCCCTGTTTTTCAGACCCTTGCTTGTCTGGAGAGGCGCCAGAGGCCCCGTGCTTAAACCCTCTTTAAGTTGTCGACGCCCCTTTTCCGGGTGCTGGAGGCGAAGACTTGAAACTCGACCCCCATAAAGTTTGAGCGGCCGGGATCCCGAGCGTTGGTTAAATGATTAGGTAGTAGGAAAGGGACGGCCACTTTCACTCTGAGTAGGAAAATTAACAGTTGGTCTTAACTCTCTTGAGGTTTTTATTTCCCCCCCTGTTCCCGCTTATGTTTGTACCTACAAACCAACAGTTCATGGAAAATCTTGATTGTGTAGTTTTCCAGAAACACATCTTCTGGGATAGGAGGACTTGGTGACAGCCTTTTATTGGCGTGAAGGCCGTTTTGAGGTCTCAGCGGCAGTGTTACATTTTAAGGTCATTACTCTTTTAGTTATTATTCTGTCCGCATTAGCTGTTTCATTCTCTTCTTTTCTTGCCTTTGGTATCTCAATGTTCAGAGTCCCCCAACTTTAGTCTACATAATTTAAGTTCTCTTTCCTTTAAAATCATCAAAATCAAGTCTCAATTATATGTAATCTCTTGACTTAAGAGAAAAGCAAACAACAAAAAAGTGTAACCTAGTAAAATAACTGCGAATGCAGAAGTGGTATGCACTTGAATACTAATTTCAGCATTGTTTATATGACATAATTGTCAAAATAATCGGGAATTTATAAAAAAGATTATTAGTTGGGAATTTTAGACAATTGTTATAAAGACTGTAGAGCTATTAAGTGATAAAAGTATTCAGGAGTGCTCAAAGCCCTGAAGAAGAACTTTCAGTAAAAAGTAGTATTTGTGAATTTCTGTCATGTTTCATACATTAATTTTATTGAAAAATAAAGGTACTTTAATAATGCCTACACATTTCAGTTTTTATAGTCTTTTCAAGAAAACCTCTGAATTCTAGAACCTGTACTTGTGTATTATGCTTGATGCGTTTGGTCTTTCATTCATAAATACCTGGCTACAGTTTATTGTGTGAAAATACAGTACACTTAGCGCTCTCACTGAAATAATTTTAAGAATTTGATTATATATTTGATTATATATTGACTTCTAGAGCCTTCTCATGTCATATTTTCTGCAGTTATGACTACCATAACTGCAATATGGTAGTCATACCTAACTTTGTCCTATAACTTATTTTATAAGAAAGGAATATTCAAAGTCTGCAGAGGCAAGCCCAAAACTAATCTGGAGGGCCTCTAACTTTGAGATGGCTTTGCCAACCTCCAAACCTGCTCTGCCTGCAGACAACAACATCCCAGAAGGGGAAGAAAGATGGATGTCTCCCACTGCAGATAAACCTTAAAGAGAATGGTCTGCCAGTGAGGGGGACCCAAACAAGAAGGTACAGGGCTCTTGCCTCGCTCCAAGTCTTGCAAAACTTGATGCACTGAGGTTTATCTCAGGGACTTGATGGCATTAACCTGATAGCCAAGATTTCATGACTCACTGGCATGTCGGGCTGACAACCCAGTCTTTATCAAACATAAGAACATTCATGCTGGGAAGAAAGTAGTTGGTGTCCATAAGCTCGCTGAAAAATGCCTTGGGCTAACTGGCAGAATGTCTTACAAGGGAGTGTACCGTATGTACGCTGTAAGAGTATTAGCTGAGTGGCAGTTATACACCAAAATGTAGCTTTCATTGACCAAGAACGAGGACAAGGATAAAAAACATTTTGCCTTCTATGCTAATATTTTGTTCAACTGGGTTTCTAGGTTTGTGCCTGATGCCAGGCACAACAAGGCTGATCCAGGCCAATGCCACAAGCCGATTAAACCTTTCAACAAGCTGTCTGGTATGACAGAAAACCTCTTCACCTTTGTGCTCCCAAATGGGACAGTAGCTGAGAATATCTACTGGGTTTACTCATGTTTGGCAGCATTGCCTACCTCCATCACCTGATCGTCGGTGTAGACTTGAAGGAGAGGTCATCTGTCGTGTCATCAGTTGGATGTGATACCAATTCAGGATTCATGCGCCTCAGAATGGAAGTAATGTTCACTAGAGCCTCCTGGGTCATCGCCACCACCTGGAAGAAGAAGGAGGTTGATAGCACCTAACAGGCCAGGACACCATGCTGTGCTATAACCAAACATTTGCTGCCACAGCCTCTCTGGGTATAAGCCTTGAAATGAGGTGCCTCATGGTGTGTCATAGTACAACCCATTGCTCGGGTTGTATTATAACTATTGTACAGTTCCAACACCCAAACGTAGGACTGTAGTTGCATAGTACATATACCTTCTTGGAGAAAAAAGAAATTTCAAGATACAATGGATTTTAAATACAAAAATTTCCCAGTATGTGACAGTATCATTCTAGTCATATTGATTTGCTACAAACTCTAAAGCTGAAGGTAGTCAAAAAGTACAGACTTCCACATTTAAAGTAAGTCATGGGGATGTAATGTAGAGCACAGTGACTACTGTTAAGCCTGTATTGCATATTTGAAAATTGCTGAGAGAATAAACCTAAAAATTCTCTTCAGGAGAATTTTCTAACTATGTATGATGATAGCTATTAGTGATTATTTTACAATTTATGCAAATAAGAGATGATTTTTATGTCAGAACTGTTAATTTTACAAAAAACATGGTACTTTGTCCTAACTTGTGACTCTATCAAACCACCCGATATTGTTATATTTCTCATTGTGAAATATCCAGCCATGGCTGAGGAAGACAAATTATAAACCCTTTAGCACCACTTACTTATTTGTGGCTCTTAACCATAGTTGCCTTTTTTTTTTTTTTTTTTAAAGATTTACTTATTTGTATATACAGAGCTAGGGTACAGGCCAGAGGTGCAGGGGCGGTGAGAGGATTCACCAGAAACGGTGGGGAGCAGCACAGGCAGACTGATGAAATAACACTGCTGAGGGGAGCCGCGGACTGGTCAGGGGAGGTCTGCCATGCCATGTGGATCACCTCCAGGGCGGGTGAGGTTTGAACTCAGGCTGAAGTGGCTTTAGCTTATTAGTGCTGTGCTTTAAACCCCCCTGCACCATCAGGGAGGGCGCACCTTTTTTTTAAGTTACTATTGGTGAGTAACTTTCTCTGACTAGCCTATAAACTCCATGAGGGCAGTTAATTATGTCTCTCTTCCCCTTACCATTATAGCTCTAATACCCAACTCAGTGTAGTAGGCAGTAAAATATGTTTGTTCAAGGGTATTAAAATACACACACGGCCCTCCCTGGTGGCGCAGTGGGTTAAAGCACAGCACTGAGAATCTAAAGCCGCTTCCGCATGAGTTCGATTCCCGCCTGCCCCAGAGGAGACCACATGGCGTGGCAGACCTCTCCTGACCCGCCCGCTGCTCCCCTCAGCAGTGTATTTCGTTGATCTGCCTGTTCTGTTCCCCACTCTGTCTCTGGTGAAGCCTCTCACCGCCCCTGAGCCTCTGGCCTGTACCCCAGTTCTGTATGCACAAATAAATAAATCTTTAAAAAAAAAAATACACACACACACACCACACATAGTGTTACAGTTTTTAATGGCAAAATTATATAGTAGTATGTGATTAAGATAGCTTGCTTGGATTTTGAATTTAGATGCACCTAAGTTTTATTTTCTACTTTACCACTTAGTTATTGACATTTAATCTCAAGCAAATACCTGGTAGAATAAATGCTAATATTAGTTACTTTTTTCCCCTACTGTTCTTTTACTCTCCATTCACCTCTGGTTATGAGTAGCTTGAGAATGAAGATACTCTGTATCTGCCTAGCACTAAAACATAGTTATTGTCCAATTGAAGTTTTGGGTTTTTGATCATGAGACATGTTACAGCATAAACAATGGCATGTTTCAACTGTAGTGATTTCAGAAAGTGTCTTGTTCTCTTCAGCCCCTGGGATTTTATTTTATTTTTAAAAGGATTTGTTTATTTATGCATACAGAACTGGGGTGCAGGCTCAGGGAGAGGATTCACCAGAGACAGAGTGGGGAGCAAAACAGGCAGACTGAGGAAGTACACTGTTGAGGGAAGCAGCGGGCGGGTCAGGAGAGGTCTGCTGCGCCATGTGGGTCACCTCCGGAGCTGGGGGTCAAACTCCCATTGAAGTGGCTAAGGCCAGTTTGCAGTGCTGTGCTTTAACCCATTGTGACACCAGAGCGGGCCTCACCTGGGATTTTATAAGCACCCCCACTCCCTCTGCCTCAGTTATACCATCTTTTTACCTTGTAAATACCTTACTTGTCATTCAGGACTTTGCTTAATTAGGCTTTTCCTTCTCCTGGGTAGAGCATGCTATAACATCTCTAAGCAAGTTTTTTTTTTTTTTTTTTTTAGAATAGGATTCTTAATCTTACACTGTTGATGCACTGGGATGGGTAACTTTTGGGGGGAGGGTGCGGTGAGGACTGACCTGTTACTAGCAGCACCCCTGGCCTCTCTCCAGGTGCCAGTAGCTACTCTTCTTATGATGGCAACACAAGATGTATCCAGTTATAGTAGTCAGTTGTCCTCTGGGAGTAAAAATCACCTCTGTTTGAGAATCACTCTAGATAAAAAGAGTCCTTGCCAAACAGTACTGTAGGTATCGCATTTTTTCAATGTAATATAAATGCTTTTGAGGGCAAGGATTGGGCCTTTTTATGTCCAGTATATAACCAATTGCTGACATGAACCACTCGGTAAGTATTTATTGAATGGATAAATATAATTCAGTATAATGAATCTTAGATATTTTGTATCGTACATATAAGCCCCACTGCAAACTGGGACTGGGATTACATTAAATGTGGGTTAAAGTCTTCTGAAGATAATTTCACTAAAGGAAAATAATCTGCTGTTTTCTGTTTATATGTATGCATACAAATATTCCTAGTGCTGTCAACTTGTATAAACTTTGGTTTCATATTCTTTGGTACTTTGTTAGACCTAGCTTTTGTTTGGATACTATATGTTCTGAAGCTCAAGTCCAGAATTGAGAGAAAAAGAAATTGTGTGTTGAAATAGAATGCACAGTGGTCGGTACACACTGGTATACAGTAAAATGTTGTGGGTGAGGGGTGGTTTTGTTGACTATAACTGATAGTGAAAATTTGGTAATAGTCTGTTGTAAGGGTGCCAGTCCCCACCGTTTTTTTTTTTTGCCCCCTTAGACATTTCACCCTTTGTTTCTCTCTCTTTGCTTTGTATTTTAAAATTGAGCTGTAATGTCGGTTAACAATATAATTCAAAGGTAGAAGTTCCTGCCTCTTCAGATGTGTCACCATACCACATCTGTCACCAAGGCACTAATGTCCATTATAGTCCACTGGACACTATCTCCCCTTAGATTCCAGTGTGTTTTTTTGTATATGAGAGGTTAATGTTATTTCTGTGATCTTGGGCAACACCTTTTCCCAAAGGCTAAGACTTGGTAGGAGGATTTGAGGAATTAATGCTTGAATTTGAATCTAATTTTTACCCCATCACTACTCCTGATGAGATTTTTGGGATAATTAGACCACTTTTATACCAATTCATAGATGCTCACTTTTCATTCATCAAATTCTTTCAGTTTTGCCTTCAAAATAGATCTCAAATCTAATCACTTCTATTACTGTTATTGTTAATTTCCTCAGTCTGAGTTCTTTCATCTGGTCTAAAGAAAGAATCTTCTCGTTGGTTCTGTTTGCATTATTATCATCCCCCAATTAATTACCCACATAGCAGCCAAAATGATCCTTTAAAATGTGAACAAGGTCTTGTCATTTGCCACATCATGTCAATATCAGAGTGGCACTAGGAAACCATCCTGGTGTATATTGTCAGATGATCTGTTTTTTAACTGCTGTTAGTTTCTGAGCCAAGAGTAACTTGAAAATTGTCACTGTGCTTATTTTTTTCCCAGGAGGAACAGCACAGCATGCTGGGCTCTGGATTTAAAGCTGAGCGTTTACGAGTCAATTTGAGATTAGTCATAAATCGTCTTAAACTGTTGGAGAAAAAAAAAAGTAAGTACTGTGTGATTGTCTTATATTTTCTTTCCTAAAATATGTCATTGGAGTCTAGCTCCCCAATATTTGTTCATTCAGTCTAGTACTGTAAAGTCTTGGGAACCCCATTATTTTTTAAGACTTAAATGCATTTCTGCCACCCTTTGTGACTACTTAGACTGAATCACTTTATTTCAGGGAAAGGGACATACTCTGTTGCTGTGGAGTAAGTAACATGGTGGAAGTTTTTGGCTGCACAAATAATAGTGTTACCTAGACAAGTAGCAAGTTAAAGACTAGATGGGATAGGGTTAGATTTGCTAAGGGAGACTGAGCAAGGGTGATAGGAATACCTACTTCTCTCTGGGTGGAGGCTGTCTAGACCATGGCTCGGAGTACTACTACGGTGTGACTGTAGTGGGACTTTTGCCCTAGCCGAACTGGCCCAGAAAGCAAGAAAGGAGATTGCTGACTATTTAGCTGCTGGGAAAGATGAACGCGCCCGGATCCGAGTGGAGCACATTATCCGAGAAGACTACCTTGTGGAGGCCATGGAGATCCTGGAGTTGTACTGTGACCTGCTGTTGGCGCGGTTTGGCCTCATTCAGTCTATGAAGTAAGACAGTTTGTCTTTTATTATTCAAGCTTCATTGAAGTATAATTGATAGAGGAAAAACTACATATTTCAATATGTAGTTTGATGAGTTTGGACATATGCATACACCATTGTAGAGCATCACCACAATCAAGGTAATAAACATTTATCATCACCAACTGTTTCCTTGTGCCAGCCCCCACCTTTTTTTCATAAGAAGACTTAACATGAGATTGGTCCTTTGAACAGCTTTAAAGTGCATAATATATCATTGTTTACTTTAGTACAGTATGCTCTTGGTCATCTTGTATAATATTTTGAGTCAATGAGCTAATTGGAGGAGAGTGATTTTGGTTTCTTTTTACATTTAGGAGATAATACTAAGGGGCTTTACGTACCCAAATACCTTTTTTCTACCATTTGCTTGAAGGCCTGCTCTCAATGTAGACATCTGTTGGAGAGAAAAATATAGAATCTGAAATCAGGAGGCTTAGGTTTGGATATTGATACCCAAAATTTCTGAATTTTGACCTTGGACTCACCCCTTAGTTTGAAATTTCCCAAAAGTAAAAGGGGATGATGAAAATGGCTAGAAGACTAAAGTTATTGTGATAATTTGGTGAGATTTGTGAGGTAGCTTTAGAGGCTACTAGGTATGTGATACAAATGTTAGGGTTTTGTTCATTTGTTTTATAGAATGTTAAATTTTATTTTTATCCTTTAGGGAGCTAGATCCGGGTCTGGCTGAATCTGTGTCTACATTGATCTGGGCTGCTCCTCGACTCCAGTCAGAAGTGGCAGAGTTGAAAATAGTGAGTACTAGCAGTTTCAGTCATGGACGTAGTTTTTCATATTGTTAAAAAGGTTGGTTCCCATAAATCATTTCCACTTATTTGACTAAATGTTTTGTGCCCCTCTCAAGTTGCCTTTGAAATAAATTTTGAATATTTGTTTTTCTTCCTTTTCAGACCTTTTATAAAATGTTTTTTGAAAACTCAAATAATTTTTTAAAGGAGCAAACTTTTATGTGCCCCAGGACTGTCTTAGTATTTTTTTTTAATGTTATCTAAGTATATACAGCTCAAGTTCTTATACAACTGTAAACCAATAAAGTTAAAGTAACATTAATTAAAAGTTATGGATATGTGCTTTAATCTTACAAATCTTTACTGAGCAGAGTAATGGGCTCAGTGGGCACTGGGGGAGGGTATAATGGTGAACAGAGTAAGGCACTAGCCATACTTGTAGCTTACAGTAGAGCAGAAGAGATGTTTAAAAATTAAAATATGGATACGGTACTAGGAGGATACAAATCCAACTGAGGTATTTTATCTCATATTTTCTACATCTTTGCTTTTTTGTTTTATTCTTTAGAGATTGTCTTAATCTTACAACCATATTTTGAGGTTTCCTTGTCATTCTGCAATGATTATTTCCTTCTTTCTTAGACTTTTTTAAGAGATTATTTTTTCTCATAGGTTTGTAAATACTTATAGCTAAGTTTCAGCACTCCTGTGCTCTCTGCTGCTCTTGGAGCGAGTCCTTTTAATTTAACCTCCTAGAGAAAAAAAAAACCTGCATTCTGATAGGGTAGGGTTTTTTGGAGAGGAATGGGAGCATAGAGGCAACTTCTTTTACTTGGTTTTTCCTCTCATATTTTATTGATTTGACACTCATTTACATAATTATAATGTTGAGAATATAACTTCATGCCTTCTTATGTGTACCTACCTTACTCAGCCTTCTAGGATCTCCAGTGCCACAACCCTTTCATTTTTATGTCATCCTTTCCATCCTTCCCTCCCCTTTTTCTCTGGTAACCAGTTCATTTTTTACAGAGACTCAAGAATTCTTGTTTTGACAGTTCAGTTATTTCAAAAGTGAATGAGACAATCTGGTAACTTTCATTTTCTAACATTTCATGTAGCATTTATATCCATTTTACCCCAATAGGTGCTATTTCACCTTTCAAATAGTTGAGTAATATCCCACTGAGTACATGCTCCCCAATTTCATTAGGAAGTAATCCACTGATGGGTATTTGGGTTGATAACATGACTTGGCAGTTGTGAATCCTGTTGCGTGAATGGGAGAGTGATTAAATTTTCTCAAATTTACAATTTTCATATTTATCCTAAAAGTAGTATTCCTGGATCACATATTCATTTTTATTTTTTGACTCCATACCATTTTTCATGGAGTCAGCTGGAGAGACTGCTCCAATTCATGTTCCCAACAGTGGATGAATGAATGAATGTTCCTTTTCTCCACATCCTTACCAGCATTTGTTATTTCCAGTCTTTTGCCATTCTCATAGGAGTGAGAAGATACAGCTCATGGCTTTGATATATTTTCCTTATAATTGATGTTGAACATTTCTTCCATGTCTATGGGCCTTCTACGTCTTTTTTGGAAAAGTGTCTATTTCGTTTTTTTGCGCCTGCTTGACTGTATCGTTTTGTTATTATTGTTAGTGAGTTCTCCATATAGTTTGGTAAATAGTTTCTTCTTGGGTGTTTGATGTACAGCTATCTTCTCCCAGGTCATAGGGAAGGCATTACTACTTATACACACTTTTAATTTCAGTCTCATTTTTCATTTCTCTTATATTTCTGTATACAAAGTTAATTCCAGATGAAATAAAAATTTACATGTTATTTTTTAAGATTTATTTTTATTTATGCATATAAGAACTGGGGTGTAGACCAGTGGTGCAGACGGATGAGAGGATTCACCAGACAGAGATGGGGGCAGAATAGGAAGATTTATTCTAATACTCTGCCGAGGGGAGCAGCAGGTGAGACAGGAGAGGTCTGCTGCACCACATGGGGTCAGCTCAGGGATCAAACTCAGACCTCGCTAGTGATAGTGCTAAGATCTAACCCCTAGGCCACCAGAGGACCCTCCCTTCTTCAACCTTGTTTTAAAGCTCTTTAGTAGTGCTCTGTTGTTTTTATGATAGAAATGAGACTCCTAACATGGGAGGTGGACACCTCTACTTTCTTTTCCTGCCACATTCCTCCCTCAGGCTCTGCACTAGAGTTTTTATTTGGCTCTATGACTGGCCCTTTTATTCACCAGAGGCTGTTTTCACATGCTCTCATCTTTCCCTGGAGTGCTCAGCATCCTCCCCTTGACCCTTTCCACTTTGGTGAAGTATCGTTTTGTTCAACAAACCTTAACTGACTTTTCTGATCAGATATAAGTCTTCTGTTGTAAACTATTGATAGCATGGTTTATTTTCCCTTGGTTGCACTTAACCAAGTAACATTGTTTGGACTTTAGTTATGTGATTGAGTAATGACTTTGCCACAGAGACTGTAAAACACTAATATTTTGAGTGCATATCATAATGCTTGTAGTAGATTTTGGCGCATAGTTGTGGCTCTGTAGGTGGAGAAATAACTGAAATGAAGGCTTGAAGCAGTCCCTAGGCAGATTCCACATTTATGTACTGTTATGTTTTCCTTATAGGTTGCTGATCAGCTCTGTGCCAAGTACAGCAAGGAATATGGCAAGTTATGTAGGACCAACCAAATTGGAACTGTGAATGACCGGGTAACCAACATACTTGTTAAACATGAAGCAGTGGCCAGGGTGGGGGGAAGGTTATTTTCTTGCCTGCGGTGACTCTTGGGATACCTCTATATGGCTGAGTTAGTCTAGGCTGCACATTTGATAATGAGAATGGGAAAGTGGCTTTCTGCTGGCAGTGCAGTCAACTTAACCTGCACCTCTGATTATGAGGTCTTCTGGGTCCCTTGTGATTTGTGGTGGAAAGACCTACTTAAGTGATATGAGCCTCATTTCCTCCTCCATTTACCTAAAAAAGAGAGGAGCAAAGCTAGACATGTTAGGCTTAACCTGGCTGGTATAGTTCATCCTAACCATGGGTCTTTTACTTACACAGCTAATGCACAAACTGAGTGTTGAGGCCCCACCCAAAATCCTAGTGGAAAGATACCTGATTGAAATTGCCAAGAACTACAATGTGCCCTATGAGCCTGACTCTGTGGTCATGGTAAGTCCACTCTTTCAGACTACAAAGGAAAAGTGTCCAGATTCTAACTCAGGTTTGTGGGGGGCTTTATGTCTTTGCATATTTGCATGTTTGTTTGGGTGACAGAACTTGAAAAAATAAAAACCTTGATTTAACTACAAAGTCATTCATTATTGCTGTTCTTCATGACGTTCAAGCAGGAAATATCCTAAGTCCAAAACAGATCCTGAAACTTATTGGGTACCTGCCATGTGCCAGACATTGCACAAAAGCTGCCAATACAAAGATACTTTTTAAAAAAAGGACTTTGCCTGCAGAGGCTCAAGTGTAGGGCAAAAAGTGTGCAAAAAAAAATAACCATGCAACAGTGTAGCTTGTTGGGATGCTCTGGTTTGCTACTCAGGCACCTTTTCCCTGCAGATTTATTTGCCGAACTTTTGAGAGTGCTGGTAACTGGTAACTTACGCACAACTCAGTATCCTGGTAGTGCAGGGGGCAGGGCAGTGCAGCAGGCACGGCCTAGCTTCTCCCTCCTGCAGCCTCCCCCTGACACCTTCCTGGGGAACCTGGCCTGCAGTGTGGTTTTACAGTATGGGTTTCTTTTTTTCTCTCAGGCAGAAGCTCCTCCTGGGGTAGAGGCAGATCTTATTGATGTCGGATTCACAGATTTTGTGAAGAAAGGGGGCTCTGGAAGAGGAGGAGGAGGAGGGGGCGGATTCACAGCACCAGTTGGTGGACCTGATGGAACAGTATCAATGCCAATGCCGATGCCAATGCCAATGCCATCTCCAAATACTCCTTTCACATACCCACTTCCGAAGGGACCAGTAAGTAAACGTGTAAATGAGTACAAATGTGAAGTGTAGAGACGAATAAAATGACGAATTGGCTCTGTAAATAAATTTAGGAATTGTAGGTTGTCAAGAGGATTTAACAATAAGAACATTTGGCATTAGAACATAGTACTGATTGGGATTCACAGGAAATCTTTTGGTTCAACTGTAGTTAATGGGAAAATCTGGAGAGATGGTGCCACAGAAAATCCATAGGTTTCCTGGACATCTTGGGATCTGTTATGGGAATAGCTTTTTCTAAAAAGTGAGTAACAACCACTTATTACTAGATAGAAAAGCTTCCTTTGTAGAAAAGCTATTTATCATTGCTACTACAAATGTCGGAATAGAATTTTTCCCTTCTAGACAGAGGGACAATTAATTTAGTAATTTAAAGAATTTTTAAAAATCTAGACTCCTTCTGATCATATGTAAATCCAAATATAATCTGAAGCATTCCAGATTTTTAAAAATATGTATTAAAATATATAATATATTACATATATTATATATTTCTCCTTTCCATACACAAACCCTCGAAATTACAAGTTGGGGGCAGTATTTCTGATATTGCCTTTCTCCTCTTGCAGTCAGATTTCAATGGATTGCCAATGGGGACTTTTCCCAATATTCATCCACCTCAGATACCAGCAACTCCCCCATCATATGAATCTGTAAGTGCCCCAGCCTCTTCTGTAAGCAGCAGGAGAGTGAATCCCGTGAAGAGAGCAAAATGATGGCTACAGGGAAGGCAAAATTTTGATCAACTTCTAGTACCAACAGTCCTCTTGCTTTGGATTCTTACGTCGCTTAAACGTTACCCTGGAAATGTGGAGTGGTGATGGGGGCAGCATTACTGGTGGTGATGCTTTATTTGCAATTAAGCCAGGAATGAGAGGAGAGCTGCAGATTAGAAAGTTCCAGTAGGGTACTTAACTTTTTCTTTTGGAATGCCTAGACAGAATCACAGTAAGCTGGTGTTTATATTTAATCTTATGGTTAACACTTACTATATATAGCTAGTATGGTAATGGTGTCCTCAACTGTAGGTGATTATAACAACTTTGGTTTATAATTAGAAGGCTTGTTTTCTTCCTGCCTTGTTTCCTCAGCTACTATGTGCCTTTGAGACCTGCTCCATCTGATAAACTTACAGAGAAAACAAACTAGGCACGTGCTGTGGAAATTACACAGAGAGATGCCCTAAGTGTAACAATCAATGTTCCCTAACTTGCTTAGTGTCTTTCCCTTGATTTTTACCTTGGACCTGAAATTTTCTTAGGTTGTGGCCTGAAATATGTTGTAGGATTGTCCAAAACTTTTCTAGGAATGAGGTATAAGATAATCACCAACATTTGAGTACTTGTTTTGTGGAATGATTTAGTTCTTTCTCTTTGGATGGAAGGTGAAGATACTAGGTTTCAGAGGTGTTATAGTGCTGTAAGCTTTTTCTTTACTTGGCAGTTAAGAGGTCAGCATGGTGCCTGTCTGGTTGGAATATCGGAAAAAATACAAGGGCTAGAAGGATGTTTTCTTTGGAGCAGGTTCTTTCTTTTACTTCTGCTGAGCTGTTTGGCTTTTGAAAACCAGGGAATAATACTGGTGTTGGTATTTTTTTCCAGTGATACCATTCTCTGTAACAATCTTTGTGTTCCAGGTTGATGACAGTGCTGATAAGAATGTCTCTTCTGCACAGATTGTTGGTAAGTGTCAGTTAGAATCCCTTAAGGGTCATTGCTGAACTCTGCTGCTGTTTTCTCACTACTGTCCCCCTCAGAGGCAGTTTTCTCATTCTTGGCATTCTACCCACACACCCGGTCCTCTTGTCCAGTGCATTATAGCGAAACTCAGGATTCCCCTCTTCCATAACAGGAAGACTTTTCCTAGTCTTTCCCCCACCCCTTAAGGCCTAAGTCTCCTGTTTATATTAGCAGTATCCTTCTAGATTTCAATCATGCTCAAGTTCTTTATGTTCCCACTGCTTTCAAACTCTCATTATGTTTGGAATTTTTTTTAATTGGAATGTTAAAAAGAAGAAGCAGGCAAAAATCATTAGTGAACATAGCTCTTTGACTTCACAAAAATCCACTCAAAACACTACCAGCATTCTAGAAACCTAGAGGGGAGATAAACTGGGAGGCAGTTTTGAAATGTAAAAGTCCATTTCTGAGAACCTGAGCAAAACCTATAACCAAAGCAGAGCCTTGAATGATGTTTTACTCAACACTTGCCAAGATCTAACATAAGCAATTACATCATTAGGTGCTGTTTGTGCACTTCCTATATATATGTGTGTAAGTGTATATAGCATATAACCACCACCTCAGGAAAGGTAAAGTGTATTTTTGTCACCCCACAAAGTTGCCTGTGTTCCTTTCCAGCCACCTGCACCCCAGAGGTAAGCACTACTTCTGTTTTCTAAAACTCTAGTTTAGTTTTTCCTGTTCTAGACCTTAGCTATAAATGGGAATGTACAGTATATTTTAAAATATTTTAAAAATAATATAATAGTTTATTTTTACATAATTTTGTACTTTTTTTTTTTCATCTCATTTGTAATCCCCGTGGGTTTCCCATCACCAAATCACCCATGTGCCATCACCATAGTCCAGTGCACTTACCTACCCCCACCATTTTTAATCCCATTCCCCACTCCATCCCCATAAAATGTCTCTGGTATATGGCTGTTCATTATTATTATTTTCTTGCCTAGTCCATTATACTCCTGCTATGAGCAAAACCATGTGGTATTTTTCTTTTTCTTTCTGGCTTATCTCACTTAAGCATGATCTTTTCCAGCTCCATCCAAGTTGCTGCAAAAGACATGTGTTTCTTTTTTTTTTTTTTTGGTTGCTGAGTAATATTCCATTGTGTATATGTACCACATCTTTTTTATCCAGTCATCTACTGTTGGGCATTTGGGCTGCTTCCATGTTTTTCCATTTGTAAATAAAGCAGCAATAAACATGGGGGTGCGGGTACTTTTTGAATCAGTGTTTTTGTGTCTTTTGGGTAGGTACCTAGGACTGGGATTGCTGGGTCATAGGGAAGCTTCATGTTAAGCAGTTTGAGGAACCCCCAAACAGTTGAGAGGGGAGTGATTTTAACTTGTAAAATATAGAAAACCAGAACTACAGATCAGAGCTTGTAAAAGGGAGCCATTTGTACAAATGTACCCCTGTGTACCAAGTCCTAAGCACTATATCTCGAAGGGAAAGTGAAACTTTTGTTCTCACCAATAGGAAATAAAAGTTAGGATTCAGTTCCAGTTAGAAAATGTAGCTCTTAATTGTTCTCCAGATTTGACCTTTAAAATTTAATGTTTTTGCCAAAGTGGGTTGTGCGCTTTGAGGATTTGAGACACTTCTCTGGTGTTCGTAACACTGCTCCTTGCCTTACATTAATTAGGTCCTGGACCCAAGCCAGAAGCCTCTGCAAAGCCCCCTCCCAGACCTGTGGATGTATCCTATGACAACTTTGTGCTACCAGAGTTGCCATCTGTGCCAGACACACTACCAACTGCATCTGCTGGTGCCAGCACCTCAGCATCTGAGGACATTGACTTTGATGATCTTTCCCGGAGATTTGAAGAGTTGAAAAAGAAAACATAGGCCTCTTAAACCAGACTGTGTCCAAGTTCTGGGAGTGGAGACTGAGCAGTTTCTCCTTGTAACAAAGACTCTCCATGAAATCCTGTTTCATCTCTTAACCATCACTGAGCAAACTCTTCTTCTGGGCTCTCTCCCTGTTCTACCACATCCTGCTGCTTTCCAGTTCTTTGTTGCTCCTAAGAGACCAACAGTTGGACACTGAGGCTGGAGCAGCGGCTCCTGGCGCCTGTGCTTGTCCATTTCCTATCAGTGTGATCCCAGGTTCTCTCCTTGCCCATCCCACCACCTCTCCAGAAGGGTGTGAGAAGGTGTAAGCCCTATGGGGAGATCTTGCAAGGTGGCTGGGCAACGAAGAAGAGCACTTCATGTGTCTCAGCCCTGTGCTGAGATTCTAGACTAGAAAAAAACCCCTCTGTTGAGTGGGATTTATGGTGAGTGAGAGAGCCAAGTTGTGTATATTCTCACTCAAATAAGAATGGGAGAGAAAATGACTCAGGAAGCCATTGTAACTGTTCTTGGAAGCTGGGTCCTCTCACTGGCATATACACTACTCCTTGCTGTAGGGCACTGTTCCACCTGGATCCAGTGGCAAAAGTTTATTTTGAAAGTTGAAGGCCTCTTAGTTCTACTGGATTCTCAGGGAGCCCTCTGTGGCCTTTTGCTTTATTTTAAGTGCTGTTTTCCTTTTACCATAGGACAGCAGCACTGTAAATTCCTGTTTTTCCCTATAGTGTGTTCTGTTGGATCGCATTACTGGCAAAGGAAGGACAGGCCACATATTGGACAGAAGTCACCATTCAAGATTAAGGTGGGCTTCCAGTTGCCTTAATAGAAGTACTCAAGTGTCTTGGGTAGTGAGCTGGAAAGCCTACAGGAGAAGAGGGGTTCCTGTTTTCATTTGAAAACTTTATGATTAAGAGAACCTTTAAAAACTGATCTTGGCTACGAGTTTGGTGCCCATGTGGCTATCTATAGCTGTTCACTGCTTTCCTGGATAGAAGAGACTTACTGTAACCTACATGCTCCTTTGCCCCCTAGCTGAGACCGTCCTTCACAGGGATGGCCTTGGATTGGAAGGTAAGACTTTGGCTCCTGTGTAGCATATCTGTACACTTCAAGCAACTTAATGTTTTTGATTGGTTTGTATCTCATAGCTCAGTAGGTGACAATAAAATTAAAGATTCTGTGCTCTGCTTTCTCTACTGCTTGTTTAAATGATGAGGTATCATTTTTGGTTTCAGTGGATAGTATTTTAAAGTGAAAAGTCCATGCTGGCACAAGCCAGAGCAAGCCTGCACTGTTGGCTCTCTGGGTAATACAAATGCCTGCAGTAGTATGAAGCTTATTTTCCTCTCTTTATATATCTGTGTACTTAAGCCTGATGTCATCTAAGTTTGCTTGGTAACTGCTACAGGTAACAGGGCTCCCTATCAGCCAGATCTCATGCTTTTTATCTTTCTTTTTTTTTTAAGATTTTTAAAAAATTTATGCATACAGAACTGGGGTACAGGCCAGAGTTGCAGGGGCGGTGAGAGGATTCACCACACACAGAGTGGGGAGCAGAACAGGCAGATCTATGAAACTCACTGCTGAGAGAAGCAGCAGGCAGGTCAGGAGCGATCTGCCGTGCCATGTGGTCATCTCCCTGGATGGGGATTAAACTCATGCTGAAGTAGCTTTAGCTTCTTAGTGCTGCATTAACCCACTGTGCCACCAGGGAGGGTCTTATCTTTTATTTTTAATAAACTGCAGTGAGGTCATGCCTGACTCATTCTTGTTTCCCATAGCCCTCCTGGAACACAGGTGGTGAGTGTTCTTGGCAGCATAGGTGGTTGATCCTGCATCACTCTTGCAGATTTAACCTTTTCCTGTTAGTGCCAAGACCCATAAGCCTAAGAACTTGTTGCCAAGAGGATTTTGATTCCTTTTTAACAATTATAACTTCTAATTACACCATGCAAAGATAAGTAGTAAGCCAAATTAAGTAAATTAGAATAGTTCACCTTGTAAAACTTCACTGTGTACTGCTGCACTGGATTCCTAACAAACTCGAGAGCTTCTGTGGCAGCACACTTATCCGTGTAGTTTCTTTCCGAGTCTGTTTGAAAGCAAAAAGGTAAGAAATCAGAATTGTTGCTAATGTTAGAGGAAAAAGTACCAAAGATACAAAGAAATTATAAATATGAATAGTGAAGATACTAGCATTGGAATGCTAGGTTTTGCTACCTAGTAGTTGAGAGCTAGCTTTTTATAGTACAGTGGGTAGAGAACTGGGCAAATTGGGTATCCTCAGAAAATGGCAGTGATGATGACTAATAAAAAGGGACATGCTCATAAGCTACATTGTTGGCTTATAATCCTAAGAGCAGCATAGTTGAGCTATGATAAAATATTTTGCAATAACCAAGCTAGAGAATTACCTACATTAAGGGACTTTCTTTACCAAAACTCATTAGAATGACAGAAACAAAGGTTAATGATCACAAGTACCATCAAGATCACACTGGTGAGGATCAGAAAGGCACCCAGGATAGGCTCTAAAGCAAATAACCTGCAAAGACAAAACACTTCTGAGTTTAAACACTGACAGATTAATTTTACTTAAAAAGGTAAGTTACATGCTAATGTTTGGATATGCTAACAAAGAAAAACAACCTGGTATTTACCAGGGAGAAAAGCAAAAACAATGAAAAATACTTTTGAGTGAATAGAAGAACAAGAATGATGACTAAGGGTATAAAAATATGACTTTAGGCCCTCCCTGGTGGCGCAGCAGGTTAAAGTGCAGCACCGAGAAGCTAAAGCCACTTCCGCATGAGTTCGATTCCCGCTGGCCCCGGAGGTGACCACATGGCGTGGCAGACCTCTCCTGACCCGCCCGCTGCTCCCCTCAGCAGTGTGCTTCGTTGATCTGCCTGTTCTACTCCCCACTCTGTCTCTGGCGAAGCCTCTCGCCGCCCCTGAGCCTCTGGCCTGTACCCCAGTTCTGTATGCACAAATAAATAAATCTTTAAAAAAAAAAATATGACTTTAAGAGCTTTCAGAGAAGAAAACTGGTGAGTTGCAATGGAATTAAATGATTTGTAGCTCATGTATGTTTAGGCAATTCTGAAAAATATAAACTAAATGTAGGAACTACACAGAGTGAAAAAATAAATATCTATCAGACATGGTAATAAATACTTCTGCTATGCCAACAACCTACTCTAAACAGAGAAGGATTCCAATAAAATCTTAACAGGTTAGCCAGAGAAAATGGGCTTTTATTTAATATGGATTTTTAAAGTTGTATTTTTTTTCCATTTATTTATCTATTTATTTAAAATATTTATTTATGCATACAGAACTAGGGTACAAGCCAGAGGTGCAGGGGTGGTAAGAGGATTCACCAGAGACAGAGTGGGGTGCAGAACAGGTAGTCAGACAGGGGAGCAGCAGGTAGATCAGACACCGTGTGGGTCATCTTCCTGGCTGGGGATCGAACTCGTGAAGTGGCTGATGCTAGTTTTGTAGTACTGTGCTTTAACCCACTGTGCCAGCAAGGATGGCCCTATTATTATTACTATTTTTTTAAAGATTTATTTATTCATATGGAACTGGGGTACAGGCCGGAGATGTGGAAGGTGAGAGGATTCACCAGAGACAGAAAGGGGAGCAGAACAGGCAGGTCAATGAAGTACACTGCTGAGGGGAGCAGCAGGCGGGCCAGGAGAGGTCTGCCTTGCCATGTGGATCTCCTCTGGGGCAGGCTGGAATCGAACTCATGTGGGAGTGGCTTTAGCTTCTCAGTGCTGTCCTTTAACCCACTGCGTTATTTTTTAAAGGATATATTTTTATTTATACATACAAAAACTGGGGTCAGGCTAGAAGTGTGGGTGTGAGAGGATTCACCAGAGACGGAGTGGGGAGCAGAAGAGGCAGACCGATGAAGTACACTGCTGAGGGAAGCAGCGGGTGAGATGTACCTTCCTATTTTTTAAAGTCAAACTTATATTGTAAACTTTAAAGGGCCATAGAGAAAGCAGAAACAAATCATGTTAAGGTCAGTTTGGTTCAGTGTCCATTGTAACAAGGTTAAGGATATAAGCAGTAATGTGGGACTCTCTTCTTAGAAATGGACAGATTGCTATGGGCCCTCCCTGGTGGCGCTACCAGTTAAAGCACAGCACTATGAAGGGATCCACAGCCACTACAGCATGAATTTGATTCCCAGCCAGGGAGCTGACGCACATGGCATGGCATGGCAGACCTCTCCTGACTACTGCTGCTCCCCTCATTAGTGTATTTCAGTTGATCTGCCTGTTCTGCTCCCCTTTCTGTCTCTGGTGAATCCTCTCACCCACCACACCTCTGGCCTGTACCCTAGTTCTTGTATGCATAAATAAATCTTTAAAAAAGAAATGGACAGATTTCTAAAAGTAACAGTCATTTGAAAGCTACATGTCGTGGTACATAAAACAGAATGACAGTGGGTCTGTCTCCTTTTTCTAGTGTGCAGCGCAGCAGAAGCTGGATTTAGAAGCAATTTTCCCTTATAGACTAAATCAAATAGAATTATGTTGGATTTTTCAACTTGTTTGGAGTGGTTCCCATCAGGAGGCCAACAGCAGTCACTGCTAAACTGAAAAAAGTTCTGTAGTCAAGAGATGATCCATCTGAACAGCAGGTTAAACTGAAAGGGAAAGTCCAGTCAGAGGAGAAGAGAGCAGGGGAGCCTACTTGCAGTTCTTGCTATGGAAATAGTGGATGACAAGGCCTATGCTGAAGCCACGGGCTAACGGCCATGTAAATCCCTGTGTAGGTGGGGTCCAGTGGATGATTACCAGGTCATGGTGGTGGACATGATGAAATGCATTTGTGGAGGTGTAAACCTATGCCCCTAAGGCATGTATTGTGTTGTAAAATTTACCTCAATAAATACAACTTTACAAAAAAAACTGCTATGCTTAAGAACTTTCATATTGTGTAAATTCTGCATTTTGCCACTTTCAATAAATTAGACCTTTACATTATCCTGTGAGCTAAGTTTTATCCCCATTTTAGAGATGAAGAGACAGACATTGAGGTTTAGTTACAATTAAGTATGAATTTATAATTAAAACCAGTATTTTATTCCACTGCCTTTTCTCTTAACACTCGCTGTCCACTTGCACAGATGGTTTTCCACATAGTGACTTAAGGAAAGTAGTATGAGTACAAGACTATACATAGTCTACAAAGGAACACAAAGACCTTGGGAGTGGGGCCTTACAGCAATGGCATAGCCTGTCAGCAGGATCAAGATGACTAGCAAGGAGCCCACCCTTCATCCCAGGAGTTCTGCCAGTAACCTGCAGCCTGGGGTTATGATGTAGCAGGTTCCATAACTGAAGTGTTGCCAGTAGAACCAAGAATCCCTTAAGGTAGATGACAGTTGAGTTTACTTTTATCACAGCTTCTGAGTTGATGAACCTGGTGTACAGGTTCGCCATTGTTAGTTCCTCTTACGTCAGTTTCCCTGGCATGCCCACTGCTGAAATTTAGCCTCTCTGAAGCCTTTTAGGTCAAACACCTAATGACTTATGTGGCCCGCCTACTCTTACGGATGTGAGAGTATTGGCAAAAGTCTGCATTGTTTGGCTAGCAAGTGTCTCATTTAATTCATCTTGGAAATGAAGGCCAGCCTCCCCCACTACACTGGTCTGTAGCAGTTGGTTCTGTCGCAGTAGCCATCAATTTGATAGGCTCAACAGCACTGAATAAAAGTAATAAACTAGGGGTGAATGAGGAGTGTCACCAATTAAGTTTTTTTTTTTTTAAAGATTTATTTATTTATTCGTACAGAACTGGGGTACAGGCCAGAGATGCGGAGGGTGAGAGGATTCACCAGAGACAGAGCAGGGAGCAGAACAGGCAGATTGACGAAGTACACTGCTGAGGGGAGCAGCGGGTGGGTCAGGAGAGGTCTGCCGCGCCATGTGGTCACCTCCGGGGCAGGCAGGGATCGAACTCATGCGGAAGTGGCTTTAGTTTCTCAGTGCAGTGCTTTAACCCACTGCGCCACCAGGGAGGGCCACCAATTAAGTTTTGATACATGTGAGGCATTTCTTAGTTTTCTGCTTTAGCAACTAGGTCACTCAGAAAGGCATGTTCCCCAAACCCCACCTCTCATTATAAGTGATTTGGTACTCAGTTATAGTTCTTTATGGTTCTAGACCTAGGCCCAAGAGCAGGCTAGATGGACTTAAGCTGGCAAACCACACAGACCCACTTTCTGTATATTAAGAACCTACCATGATCTGGGACACTGCTCAGGAAAATCCTTAAATGGCTTAGTGGTGCAGGATGTTGACCACTAAAACGACTTTCCCTATGGGGAAACATCAGAAATAGCGCCCATTGGGTACCTGAATTTATCTTGGTATAATTGAACATCCCTACCAGAAACCGACCTCACTCGGATTTAAAGGGTGAGTATGGTATGGTTTCACTTAAGGAATTTTAGCTACATAATGTTTAGGCTTTATTGCTTGGTCACATTGTAAAATGATCAATTCTAGATTCCTAAAATATGAAATTTAAGTTTAAGCCTTGATGAGCACATACCTAGAGTATGATGAAGGCAGAATGTTCTTAAGCCTGATTAGTGGTGTAAACGGTTTCTAGTTAAGGTTTTCTCTCCTATGTGCATTAGTCTGAGTTCTGTTCCAGACATACGAGGATGTAGAGGTAAAGGGGGAGTTTGTGAGAATACCTGTGTATAATCAGTAAACTTTACGAGTAGAATAACTTGTGCTCCTCAGACTCCTTACTTGTCCCGGTCGTAGTGGTATTGTGCCAAGTTTTTCTTAAGTAGAGAAATAAGCTTCATGTTAAATGACAAAACTAATGAGGATTATGCTCATGTCCAGAATGTTTCTTTCTAGTGAAGAATCTCCCCCTCTGCCATTTAAGTTGGCAACCCTAAACACACACACCAGTCACTGCTGCTTGCCCGAAAGATAAGCCAGTCTCTCTCTCTGCAGTGTTAGAAACACTAGATGAATGCAGTTAAAAAAAGCATTCATCTGGGCACTTGTCAAATTTAACTTGGACCCAATGGGTTATGCTCTGTAGTTACCAGCTGCTACTTAATTTTTCCATGGAAAGTTGGCCTTCTCTATTACAACTTAAATTAGTCACGTTCTTATTCCTATTGCTTAATCAAACATCTAAATTTGTTATCAAACCTGAAAACAAAATATTATGTTTATCCTAAAATATATTCTTTGGTGGGCCCTCCCTGGTGGTGCAGCGGGTTAAAGCACTGCACTGAGAAGCTAAAGCCACTTCTGCATGAGTTCGATCCCCGCCTGCCCCGGAGGTGACCACATGGCGCGGCAGACCTCTCCTGACCCGCCCGCTGCTCCCCTCAGCAGTGTACTTCGTTGATCTGCCTGTTCTGCTCCCCACTCTGTCTCTGGTGAGTCCTCTCACTCTCCGCATCTCTGGACTATACCCCAGTTCTGTACGAATAAATAAATAAATCTTTAAAATATATATATATATTCTTTGGGTGCAGTCATCTGTATTTTTTGTTGTTAGTATTTGCTGTGTTCGCTGTATTTTCAACCACTTACTATTACCTTGCATAGGGGTAATACAGGTGTACAAATGCACTCATTTTTTAGAATTAATGCTACAGAAAACTGAAAGAACCACTAGGTGGAAAATAAGTTCTTTAACTGAATTCACGTTCTAGTAAAGTCCCAGCAACAGCTCATTGTAGTCTTGAGAACTTACATCTAACATTTTCAATTTACCTGTATGAAGGTAGTAACAGATGAGGAGATAACAGATGACCTGTGAGATGACAGATCAGGCAAATGCCTTCTTGGATGTCTGAAGTGAAGTTGAACTGTTAAGTCTTACAGAAGTAAAGAAAATACCTGGGAATAACAGAGAACATCAAGAGTCCTTAAAACTTTTGCCCTCTCCCCTTCAAACTCTTGTCTCTGAAGTAATTCTAACTCTTCCGGAGTCTCTACACTACCACTTAGTATTTCCCCATGAACTGACATGAACATTTAATGAGCTCACATCTGCAAAGCTACTGAAATGGGTTGAGTTCACTAAGTCAGAAAAGGGAGAAGATGACTGTAATGAGAGGGCAGTGCCAGTGGCTTCTATGATGGGTGTTAACCAAGCCAGGGAAACTGTATAGCTGAATTGGCTATTTGTATTGTTGTTACATGATTTTAAAAGAATTGATGGCTGCAATATAAAACATGAGAATGGGCAAAAATATAAACAGGGCGTTGTTTAAAGTGGTTGAAATGCATTTTCAGAAATTAGTAGTCCAAAAATGCTTTGAGAAATTTCAAATTTAGATACTTTCTAAGTCTAAAAATACTAATATCCCATGAATACTCAGATATTTACATGAGGAATAGATGAAAAGCTTTGAGTTTCACCTGGAAGGGCAGTGAGAAATTTATATAAAGTCATGCAAAATCTTTTGAGTATAAACTTTTAATTTATTTTAAAAATTCTAATTTACTTAGGCATATAAGAACAGGGGTGTAGGCCAGTGAGGGAGAGAATTCACCAGAAACAGAATGGGGAGCAGAACAGGCACGTTGACTGAGATACACTGCTGAGATGAGCACTGGGGAGACAGGAGAGGTCTGCTGCGCCATGTGGGTCAGCTCTCTGGCCAAGGATAGAACTCACACTAAGTAGCTGGCAGCTTGGTACTCTCTGTGCCACTAGGGAGTGAAATAGTTTTAATAAGGTCGTGAAATTGTTTAACTAAGCTACATCTCCTTATACACAGTATATGCATGCAAGAACAAAAGAAATCCTTCTTTGAGATAGCTGGCTTTCAAGACTAGGGCTTCCCCATGTTTAATTATAATCCTATGAAGGCCATCAGGAAGCTTTCGTGTTTCATTTAGAATTAAGTGTAAATGAAGTAGTCTGAGTGGGAGGTAAATAATTCTGATTAGAAGTAACACCGAATAGTAAGTATAAGGACAACACTTGTGGACAACCCTGGAGAGAGGAGAAAGAAGACAAAGGAAGTTGGATTAGGACAGGCATCATTAGAATTAGGGAAATTTGGCAGGGAGAGGTTGGCAGTGGTTATTATAAGACTTGGGGTTCTGCAGAAGACAAAAGAGAAAGATAGGTGTGACGACTCTCAAAATTTCAGGAATTTCTGAAATGAATATACAATCATGACAGAATTCTGATATTCTCTACCTAGGAGAAAGTCAAATGATAAAAAGCTGGTTTAAGATAAATATTAATTATATCCCATGAAGAAATGTTCATTTCCTAAATGTGATTAAACACAAGCTATTAGGAAAGTTTTTTAAAAATAATATGTTTATTTTACATCATTTTGTGCCTTTTTCCATCTCAGTTGTAATCCCCATGGGCTTCCCATAACCAAAACACCTGTATGCCATCACCATAGTCCACGGCACTTCACCCCCCTACACACCATTTCTGATCCTACTCTCCACTCCACCCCTGTAAAATGTCTCTGGTATATAGTTGTTCAATATTATTATTTGTCCCCCTGGTCCTTTCTACTCCTACTATGAGTGAAACCACCTAGTATTTTTCTTTGTCTTTCTGGCTTATTTCACTAAGCACGATCCCTTCCAGCTCCATCCATGTTGCTGCAAAAGGCATGAGTTTATCTTTTTGATCACTGAGTAATATTCCATTGTATATATGTACCACATCTTTTTTAATCCAGTCATCTAATCATGAGCATTTGGGTTGATGGGAAAGCTTTTTTAAACCTTTTTCTTTCTTAATTTTTAAAAATTGAGGTGACTGGTTTATAACAGTTTATGATTTAAAGCAATAGGCTCACTCCTGCTCAGATGTATGTCACAACTACATATATCAAAACACAGTCCTTTACTAGGAAAGTTTTAATTTATGGGCTCACTCCAGCCACTTTCCAGGCTGAAAGTGAATAAATTATCATCATGTATATGAGTTTCCTGTGAGACTCACCAGTGGGAATCATCCTTACAGATGTGACGCTCCTTAGGCAAATGGACATAAATCTGAACCTGCTTATATTAGGTCCAGGGAGTGGACCTTGGGTACCCACACAGGTATAACCATATTGAGAAAACCTGCTGCCCTCTCCAGAGTTCTAACAAGTCACAGGAGAGGTGTTTGGAAAACAAAGTGCACCGCACATTTCCCAGGCTGGACCCAAAGACTGTGCTCTTACCTCTGTAATCTCCATACAGGTTAGGAAGGAAGGTGCGATTGGCCCAGATGTAGAAATGCTTAAGAATTTTTATCTCTGAGAGACCATGAGAAAAACTCTTTCAAATTGCTTGATGGTGGTAAAATCTATTGGAGTTCTGTGCAGAGTAGATTGTAGACGTCAATAGGACAGGAAAGAGGATTTGTACTAGTGGAAAGAAGACAAAATAGCATGATTGAGTGGTTAACTTAGAAACCTTCTATACCCTTTCCTCCCTATATTTTTCAAGTTAAAAAAATGGTGCAGCCTAGCAGTTACAAATGGATAAGCCAATACATGTGACTCTTAGTGATATCTACCTACATCAACAGATCCTCCCACAATGTAAATTTTACCTAAGATACAGAAAATCTCAGAAACCAGTCTTTCCTCATTTTCATTCTTCTCCCTCCTCCAGCTATGGAGACTATGGATCCATCTATGAGACTATGTTCACAAGAAGGGAGAGCACAAGAAGGGAGAGCATGCAAACTCATCACTTGTCTTCTGTGGTTGAGGGAAGAAAATCAGACACTAGAGGAACTTAATCAGCTATCCCACCCTTACAGGGAAGCATTTTCTGGAGAGTATTTATTTTTCTTCCACCCTGTGAAGGAATCAGTTCAAGTCGTACCATTACATTTTGTAGGTACAGAAAGTGATTTATTTAAGTACTAATTTATATCTGAGGATCCAACTTCAGGAGTATTTCCCTTTAGCAGCTACTTTATTTACTGGAACTCAGAGTTTTCAAGGGGAGCATTTTAAGATACCATGCCTCCATTCTGCATTTTCCATTTTATTCTTGCTCCTCCTTACCTCATTGGGAAATGTGCTACAGAATCAACATGTTACCATTTTCCTCTTCATACCCCAAATATCTGCTATCAGCTTGAGGATTTTGTTCTCTTTCACAGTTCTTTCTGGGCACTTAACTGGACTGTTCATAGCTAGAGCTACACAGACGGGATTGTTCTTATCTCTTGAACCAGGTGATGATGAAGAATATTTTTCTGTCAAAGAATTCAAATGTGGACCAAAAAAAAAAAGTTTCATTAAGCAATTATTCATAGGGATTTGTTGAACATTTTCTTTGAGTACGTGTTGTTAAATATTGACAAAACAAAGACTAAAGCTACCTAAAGAGCCCCTCTCAAACTATCATGAGGGACTTTTAAAAAAATGTATATATCCCAAAGGGTAGGTTTATTACATAATAAAAGAGAAGGCGAAGAATGTAGCACCAAATTGAGAAATACTAGTGTGCTTTACATCACTTAGGACTAGTATCAACTGTAGACAGTGATGAGGCTGTTTCTTTACCCAGAGGGACATATGCATAGATAAAGAACTTTAGTTTTCTATTTCATTACATTTTTCAATGTAGCTTCAAAACTAGTGTTAGGAGAGAATAAAGACAGAAAGAAGCAGCAGTTTTATCATATATCCAACACTAAACTCCAGGGAGTGTGCTCTCTATTCACATTCAGTTCTCAGGATACTTCATAACCAAAGTAAAATAAGAGAAACAATGGGTTAAAGTTCAGGGGACAGGAATTAGGGAAAGGCTTAAATGGTAAGATGACCTTAAGAGCCTTCTAAAAGGTTGCTTTCTACTACATGAGCAAAGGCAGCATGTTATTGACCTAAAACCTGATGCCAAGCTTACCTCAACAGCTGTGTGTGAGAGAGAAAGGCTCAAAAGAAGCATCTGAGAGACAGAAGGGATGAATGCGGGGAAACTGAGGCAGAGGTTCCCACAGTTAAGTCATCTGGAAGAGCCGTCCAATCACCAGATTGGGAAAAGGATGACAGCAGTTTGGATGCTGATAAGCAGTCCAGACCAGGTCACAGCAAATGGCCCCACTGAAAAAAGCATTGCATCAACATTCATCCTTAACACTTAAAATCATCCCAAAGTTATTTCTCTCTCAGGTATAAGTATTTATTTAGCAATCGAAGTATGATTATCCAAGGATGGAAAATTATCATGGCGGTGAAGACCCTAATGTGTTCTGAAGGCTGCTTTATTAAAGAATGAGAGCAGTGGGGAAAGTTAAGAGTACCCTGTGCCCTCCCTGGTGGCACAATGGGTTAAAATGCCATACCATGAAGCTGGCTATGGCTGCTTCTTAGGTGTGAGCTTGATCCCCACCCTGGAGGTGATCCACATGGTGCAGCAGACCTCTCCTGTCTCACCCACTGCTCCCCTCAGCAATGTATCTCGTCAGCCTGCCTGTTTTTCTCCCCCCTCTGTCTCTGGTGAATCCTCTCACTGCCCCTGTACCTCTGACCTATACCCCAGTTCTGTATGCATAATAAATAAACCTTTAAAAAAAATAAAGAGAGAGAGAGTACTCTAATAATAGAGTTGCAAAGGAGAATGAAGGCATGACTCTTCCTAGCCCTGAAAGTAAGGGCAGTGGAATATATTAAAAAGAAACATGTCACAAACAGTGCGTCCACACCTTGCTCATTTCTTTTGGTGGTAGAATCACTTATTTTTCAGAACATAATATTGGTGACTATGTTGCAAAGAAGCAGGGTCAGACAGCAAGTGAGCTGCTTGACTCTTGTAAGTTGGTTCTAGGCATGTCAAGTTGCAACTGAGAGACATAGATAATCCTGGGTGAACTTTTCTATGATCATGGAGAACAGATGTATAAAAAGGTAAGTGAATGGGAAAGGCAAGATATTTCATTCTGAAAGTGACAGCCCAAAAGTCACGTGAGGGGGCAGAAAATGGTTGGAGTTCTTTCAAATACCCACTTACAGAGATTGGAAAAAATCCACTTGCAAGACTATTACTTGACCTGACTAGGTATCCCCCCAGTGAAAAATGCTTTTTCCTTTAGGGCATTCTCAAAAATGTTTGGAGGCAATGATTAACTTCATAGGTACCACTGATATGTTGGGCGGAAAATTGGCTAACTAAAAAGCTTAAAAGAAGAAGCTGGAAAATGTGAAGTCTGTAGTAGTTTTAAAAATCTGACATATTGCTGGGAAACTAGAAGACTCATGCCAGCTCTCCTCCCCAAATGACCTTGAAGCTTGCAGCAAGCAGGAGTTAAGGCTCAGGCAGATTTGTCACTTGCCTTGTTGAGTGTTGCAGGGGTAGCACCCATTCACACAAAATCTCTCAGCAAGGACTGAGAAGCTTATTGTTTCCTAGCGTTTCAAGACATCTCTTTAAGTGATGACTAGGCCAACTGAGCAAAAACCTCATGATACTTATGACAAAGATTACAGATCTTAGAGTGAGTTGAGAAATGTTATCAAAGAAATGATAACAGCAGTAACAACAAATTCTGGAAGAAGAAGGAAGGAAATCTGATTTCCAGAGTTGCCACATTCTATTATGCAAGATATTACTATGGCGAGTTTTCAACAAAAGATCACAAAACATGAAAAAAAACAAGAAAGTACCACACATACATATACACACCAGGCAGCCCTCAATCCCCCAGAATTGTCCAAAGAACTAAAGGAAAGTAAATGAGAACAATGTTTTGTCAAATGGAGATTATCAATAAAGACACAGAAATTATTTTTCAGGAACCAACCAGAAAATTTTCAGTTGAAAAATACCTTAAGTGAAATGAAAATTTCACTGGAGTGATTCTACTGCAGATATGAACAGGTAAAGAAAGTATCAGCACACTTGATGGTAGGTCAATTCAAAGTATCCAGTTGGAGGAATAGAAAGAAAAAAGAACGGAGTAAAAGAAGAGCATCTCAGAGACCTATAGGACATCATTTCCCAAAATACCTGCAAGAAAAGAGCTTTATATTAGAGGCTGGTATGAAGATCTGATCATGCGTGCCGTTTCCCAGGTCCACCGCTAGCCAACAATTGCACAGGAAATGCCATTTCCTTTATGCTTCCACATCAGTGACTATGACGTGGTTTACAGACCTATAGTAAAATGAAGATGGTCATGTTAGGTAGGTGGGCATGAATCAGCTGTTTGTAAGAAGCAGCCTTTACTGCAGTGAGTCTCAAGGAAATGATTCTCTACAATGCCAGGGAAGAACTAAAGCAAGAAATGAACTCTGATCCCATTTTCCCTTCCAATCTCTAAGAGAACTCACATACTAAACACCAGACTGTGTACTTCAGTGATTTATGGAAAGGTCAGCGTGTGTACATATTAACTTTTCTTGTTTGGTCTGTAATAGTTCCCTGCCACTGCTTTAAGTACCTTGTATGCCTCTGTCTGTCATCACCCAGATCTGAGGGATGTGGGGAATGGCCTTTAACATTTCCGTTACTGACTTCTTTTAATTGGGTCTGTGACTTCCTCTTGATTCACAGGCCTACAGGCCTTGAGGTTTCATCCTCTTTCCAACCACAATGTTTTACTCTGTTAATTTCTCTATTAACTTCAGTGGTCATTAAACTTGTCCTCTAAGACATTTACTTGGTCAGACTATTTGACTCCATTTTGTAACTAGTTAATTTTCTCTTTATTGTAATGGTGCTATTTCTCCACGAGTCTATGTTTAATGTTATGAAACCGTGCAACTGCCTTTGGTTAAAATCTTTAATTTTGCTGTAAGGTTATTTTCTTTGTGAAGAGTATGAGCTTCTTTAAAGCCAAAATATTTCTGGGAATTCTCTTACTGTGACAGTTTATAACTTCCCAGGTGACTAAATTACATTTGATTTAAACTACACTAGTACATTTTATGCTATTAAAACTTTGATTTAGTGCCCTCCCTGGTGGCGCAGCAGGTTAAAGCACAGCACTAAGAAGCTAAAGCCACTTCAGCATGAGTTCGATCCCCGCCTGCCCCAGAGGTGACCGACATGGCGCGGCAGACCTCTCCTGACCCACCCCCTGCTCCCCTCAGCAGTGTACTTCGTTAGTGGGCCTGTTCTACTCCCCACTCTGTCTCTGGTGAATCCTTTCACCCTGTACCTCTGGCCTGTACCCCAGTTCTGTATGCATAAATAAATAAATCTAAAAAATAACTTTCATTTAATAGCAAAGTATAATAACAAAATAAAATAAAAAGAAGAAAATAATCATTTTCTGATTTGCGTAAAAACCAGGCATGAACATTTTACACTTCTGGGGTAACTTCTATTTGTTTATTCTTTCATATATAAGAAAAAGAAAAATCTGGTTGAGGCATTTGCTATAATTAGCAGATACAGAAAATCTCATCATTTGTTAAATAGAAAACTGCTGGTGGGCTGTTTTTTACGGGATGGTAGTTCCAAGTAGCTGAGAAATTAGCTATAAAATATTTGATATTATATTTTAGCTGTAATTATGAATTACAAATACTTACTGAATCCTCCTATAATCATGACACTATACTAGTTGCTGAGAATGCAAATATGAAAACCGTATTATGTTCATCCTTGATGAACATAAAGTCATTGGAATTAAAAATAATATTAATAGGCCCTCCCTGGTGGCGCAGCGGGTTAAGGCACAGCACTGAGAATCTAAGGCTGCTTCCGCATGAGTTCGATTCCCGCCTGCCCCGGAGGTGACCACATGGCGTGGCAGACCTCTCCTGACCCGCCCGCTGCGCCCCTCAGCAGTGTACTTCGTCAATCTGCCTGTTCTGTTCCCCGCTCTGTCTCTGGTGAAGCCTCTCACCGCCCCTGAGCCTCTGGCCTGTACCCCAGTTCTGTATGTACAAATAAATAAATCTTTAAAAAAATATTAATAATATTATAATCAAAGACTACATATAAAATTAAGATTGCTATAACCTGGTAATAAGGATTAGTAAGAAAATTAGAAAAGATGATATTGGAGTGAGTTTAAATGTTGTCTGTAAAACTTATCTATTTAAATTGAAAAGATGTCTTTACAGTGATAAAATAAACTCCTTACAAATATTTTTGAAAATTCTTAAGTATACACTGAATAAAACTTAAAAAATTCATAATCCTATGATCCAGAAATAACTGTTAGCAATAATTTAGTCTACAGACCTTTTCCTTTCTTTTTAATAATATATAACTTACATATTTTAATTATAAGGTATATAATTTATATATGACAGAGGACACTCATTTAGAATGTAATTTCAATGCATTTTAACAAGTGTACATGTGTGGGTAAATATCACCTCCATCAAGATATCACCCCAGAAGTTCCCTGTGTCTCTTCCCAGTCATCCAGGTTCACGCTGACATTAGGAGAACCACTGATCTGCTTCCTGCCCTTAAATTTGCTTTTTAAAAATGTCTTCTGCATGGAGTCACAGTTAGAGACTCTTTTAATTTATGGCACTTTCGGGCTACATGCCACTGTTATTATTTGCTGCTTACAATCTTGATTAAAGCAAATTTAAGAAAAAAAACTATTACTCTGCCATCACAAAAAATCATATGGTGAACAATTTTCTGTATTTCTTTTCCAGGGTTTCTTTTTAGTAGACAGCTGTACAATGTAAATCTTAGTTATTTGTTGTTGTTTGGCCCAACACTGTTATTCACTATGATTACATGCTGGTCTTTCTCTGGGATACTAATGGTCACAGAGAAGAAAGAACAAGTTGGTGTGATGCAGGTCTTACCAAAAGGGGCTGATACCAGAATTGTCATGCATAGTTGAAGGCTGTGCAGTTACCCAAGAGAGGACTGGGTGTGGAGGAGGAAGACATAGAGTGCCCCTCTTTCAAAGACAGCTTTCTGGGGGTCACAAAGGTGATGGGGCTCCTTCTGTCCCTCAGATCCAGACAGGGTGACAACTACCTAAAACATAAGGAAAGTTTGTAATCAGTGGGTCTTTCAGCAGGAATGAAAGCTGTGAGTCTTGATACTTCCAATGCCCTCTTCCTGGTGGGCAACACTGACATCACCTGGGAGCTTGTTAGAAAAGCAGGATCTTAAGCCCGCCCAGATGCACCGCCTCACAGCCTGCATTTTAACCAGCTCCCAGTGTGAGGATTGCCTAGGAAGCACTGTCTACATCATCCAGAAGTCGCTTCTTGAGTCCACGCATGATGCAGGTGTCTTCCAGACACTCCTCTTTCCCTCTACAGTCTTAGTTACCACACACACGTTCCGAGAAATGCCTCCTTAAGTGATTTCACTATTGCATGAATGTGAGAGAGTGTGATCACACAAACCTAGACACCAGCGTCAACTGCATACCTGGCTGTGTGGTATGACCTATCAGGGCCATGTGGTATATATCAGTGTCACCTCTCAGCCTATCATTGGCTGAACATCATTAGGTGCTGCAGGACTGGGTTTCCCATATGGATGACACTTTTTCAGATCTTTTAAGAATGCTCTCATGGTTCCAGAACCCTGCCCTGTTCAACTGAGTGAGAATTGAAGTCAGAGAGGACCTCACTGAATCAATGATGTGCAATGCTAGCAGTTATGTTTTAAAGTGCCCAACACCTGGAACTGGGTGATACTTACAAAGGTGATGCTCTGCCCCCTAGCTGGCCTGGTATGTAAGGAATCTGCTAACTTGTTTTTAAATCAGAAAGTTCTATTTAGTAGGAAGTTGGTTTCGTTTCCTCATAACATATTTAATGCTTGTTAGAATTGTAATAGCTCCACATGCTACTTTTCTTATTTTATCTAGAATAGCCAGATTCACCCTGGATTAATGTTTGAGAAAGAAAGAAAGGGTAGGCCCCTTGTGAAGTGTTCAGATAGGCTTTTTCTGAGACATGTCACCTGGGCATGTGAAGCCAAGGTTAATAGAGGCCCTGCAGCTTCAAGAGAAAGTTTCTATGACCTTAAAGAATGAAGACTGTCCACACTTAGGGAGAACTAATTCTGCATAACTAACTTTTTTATCACAGAAACCTATTTTGTGGCCAGGGAAATACCTAGAGCATCCAAACTTGTCCTCACCCTTTCTTCATGGTGTGAGACACTCTCCTTTCTCTTTGATACCCCAGGCCCCTATTCCACTCTCTATACCCTCTGAGGGGTAGGAGCAAGGAAGGAGGGTGTAAGAAGAATGGTGGTGGGTGTTTTTTTCTAATAATAAATTTGAAATACATAAACCCTCTCTCTGTTTCATTTGTTCTAGAATTTACAGTCAGAGCTTGGCCTGGGAATGAAAATGTAAATTCTCTGTACTTATGTAACTAAATTTGTTCTTTCCTCCTACTGAGCTGCTTGATGTCAATTTGATTGCCCAACCAGCCCCAGAAAGAACCCTGAAAGGAAGGAGAATTTCCTCTCCTATCTGAACAAGTACAACTTGCTCTAATGAGATGCATCTCCTTGCCCACCACACAGCAGTCTCTTCCATTTTCCCAGGCTGATTAGTTGCCCTTCTAGTTTTCTTTCTGGGCTACCCCAAATGCAGTAACAGATGCATCTGGTGTGGGTTGAAGGAGAAGAGAGCCAGGAGTGGTGGGCACCTCACAAGGCACCCCTCGCTTTTCCAGGAGCTGTTGTGATTGTTCCAGAAGTAGCACTAAGTGACCACTGTCACCACAGAGAACCAGGTGGCATCTGCTGAGCATGTGCCTGGCTATTATTCAGTACAGGGGTTATGTAGTAGGTGCCGGTCCCATACTTCAGACACTCTGGTGTCAGCACCCACGTGTATTCCTTGTCTTCAAACAAAGAAAGAAGGCTCAGGCGCATTTCAAATGGATCAAAACTATCATTAGAACCTTTTTTCGGGAGGGTCACTTATTGTTGCTGCTGTCATTATGAGTGAACCCAAGTGGGAGGACACAGGTCAGAGCAAAGAATAAGTTACAGGAATTTACTGTTACAAGACTTTCTCTGTTCCTATCTCCTTTCACAAGATGGTTTTCACTCTCACTTTCTGCATACTGTTTCAGGCCCTGCTTGATTACTATCTGCATTCTCTACTTTCATGGGATTACTCTTCAGCTCCAAGGAACCCTTGAAGTTGCAGCTAAGGAAGCCCACATGAGCCTGGACTCCTCTGCACAGAGCAGTTGACCACTCGTGAGTGGATGAGAAAAACCAGATACCAAGTCATTGAGGTTTTCATTAACATGGTGACATACCCCTGGGTGGAGATTTAAAATGCCAATGACATGTGTGCTGCATGAGAAACCATGCTATGCTACTGTGACTGCGCCAGCCCCTGCTCCTAGGGCAGCCTTTTTAGTGCTGCCTCATTGGCCCTGCTTGTTAATAAAAAGCAAAACTACACCTTGTTTAAGGAGGTACTCTCTTCCTTAAGGAGCTTTCCCTGGAATCTTGTGCTTGTACATAAATAAAACTTATACTTTCTCACTTCCTTTATCTTCCTTTATCTTATGTGCCCTCATTTCATTCTTGAGTGAAGCTCTCAAGAATCCTGTGACAATATTTTTACAAACAAGAAAATAAGCCTAGAGTTAAAAATTGACAACTATTTCAAAATAAGAGTTCCCCAAAAAGGAAGGGAAAAAATGCATTACAAAGTCAGTTTCTGACATCTGATTGTGTTTTTACCTTTTTGCTCCATTCGGTCCTTTGGAAGGGTGATGTTCAGGTGGTAGTAAGTGTGGTTAGGCTGATACTGGAATCCCAGACAGAGTGTCATTAAAAGGGGGGTTTCAGGCTCTATGCACACGATCAGGGATTTCTCCGGAGAAGTGACATTCACTGTGACAAAATGATCTGTGCTCACGTTGAGGCTGGTAGAGTGAATTTCCATGCTAGCATTTCTCCAGAGCATGATCTAGAAGACAAGACAATCAATCTTCAGATTTAAGATGGCCCTTCCACTGATGATGCCTTTCAGTTTCTTTGATAGTGACAAGGGGATGGAGCTTCCGAGGACTTCCTCTTCCTTTTTCCATAGAGGCATCGTACAAGGGATTAGGGGAGAGGATATTTAGTTTAAGAGCTAAAATGCCTTTTCCTAAGTGTAAGGTGGATCTCCTTGTAAAAGTCCCTAGTAAAGATATTAATAACAACAATGGCACCGCCATAAATCTAAAGTGACTTCCTTTAAGGTGCTGCATCCTTTCTATTCTCCAAGTGTTCCTGTTCCTGTCTATTTTGTTCCCAAATAATCAAGGCATACCTCAATATCTTCCATTAAATCATGGACTTGGAGAAATTTATGATTAGAGCTCAGTAACACACTTCCAGTGCTTCCAACAATGTTCTTATCATCAATATCTCTGAAAGGAATGAAAGCTAGCCCTGTTACCTAGAGATGAGAAAACTCCAGTTTCATCTATTGCCAAAGTATTTATAAATAACACCCATTAGGTCATATGGTATCAGATACCATAAATAACACCCATGAGGTCATAAGGTATCAGATATCATAAAGTAAATGTTGGGATTTTTCCCTTTCTAATATCTCAAATGAGATATTATTATAATAGGAAATCTATTATAATGAAAAATCATATGAAAATCAAGTTATTTACTTGTGAACCTTACCGTTATTATATTTTTTGCATCTTTATATTTAGAGGATTCTATCTCACTAGACAGTGGGTGTTTGTTATGCTCTCCAGGATAAGGCAACAATTCTACTCCTGTTAGGTAATTGCTGAAAGAAATATACTCTAAGTGATAAGACTAACTTGGTACATTTAGCCAATGATGATACAGACATTCCTAGCTTTGTATAAATGGTAAAGAGTTGAGATAAATTCAAATCAAAACGCAGAAACTTCATTAAATTCAGTGGTCTGTTTAATACTCCCAGTTCCCATGCTGGATGAATGTGAGTGTGGAATCGAAGGGAAGGGCACAAGCATTGACCCTGGGTAACACTGCGAGCTCTGTGAACCACAGGCTCTCTGAAACAGTGATTCCTTTCAGAAACTTTTCAGCACAAGGAGCCAATGTGTTTTCACCTCTTTCCCACCACAGAGAAAATGAGTAACAGAACTATACAGCGACTGACCAAAGGGCAAGTAAATCAGAAAATAACACTTTTAAGAGTCAGGTTAACTCTCACCGCCAAAGTCAAGGAATCCTGGAAATCAAAATAACACATACTTTGGCCAACAGGCATATGAAAAAATGTTCAACATCACTCGTAATAAGGGAGATGCAAATTAAAACCACAATGAGATACCACCTCACCCCAGTGAG